AAAAAAAAAAAAAAAAAAAAAAAAAAAAAAAAAAAAAAAAAAAAAAAAAAAAAAAAAAAAAAAAAAAAAAAAAAAAAAAAAAAAAAAAAAAATATTATATGGAGATTTACGTTACAAAGAGTGGTGACGAGCATGACATCATGGTGTATATTGAAAATCATGCGACGGATGAGCGACGAATGAGGGAATTCAAATCCTATCTTTGACCATGTGGAGACTGCTGTGAACGTTTTCATGTTCCTCCTACATCAATGTTGAGATGTGCATATGGACTGTCACTACGCTACAGAAAGCCAGCTTTCGACGTCTCCGTCTTGGATCATGACCTCTAGCAGCATTCCCCTACGAAACCGCCGGATGGCCGAGCTAACCTCTGATATGTTGGATTCGATTTTGAGGCACTATCACATGTCGGACGTCAGTATGTGTCTTCGGCGAAGAGCGGTATGATATGCGACGTTGAGAAATATAAACAGCGAGCTTCTCAACGTAGCCTATAAAGCCATGGCATATTGGTCCCACTGGGGTTACATCGTCGGATAAGGGCTGTCCGTCACCATCATATTACCCCCGGCTATTTGCCAAAAGACTAGTCCGCAACGGATTGAACTATGTGGGGGGTTTCATTGAACGATCAGTGACAGCCTGGGTGGATCCACTCCTCGTTACCTCAGCTGCGTAGGACATCCACGATATATGTTGGGAGTAATGGGCTACTGTGCCCGCTCTGCAAATAATTCTTTGCCATTCGAGCTGTCCATCAGCTTCTTTTATATGGAATGAATTCTGCAAGAGTAAGAATTTGGTGACCATATATCCAGCATGAGTGTCCTGCCCTGTGGTCAATGATCACTGTTATTCTTTTCCTGAACTAGTCGAAACTTGCCTCGCAGTCCAGGCAGATATTTGCCTGTGCGTGTATGTCTGACTATGTCCTAGTACCTGTAGCCGGGCTGTTTCTATAGCGTTCGGTACAAGGTTAACATCGTCTTAATTCTATCCTGGATGCGTTTAGAGTCTATACTCTCTCGTCCCAAGACAGTGCTGCTTGGGGTTACTATTACTGATGCCGGCAAACTCGTGCAAGTAATCTCAATGATGGCACAGAATACTTTACCACGACAGTTGGCTTTTATTCTCAAGTCCGGTGGGAAGTGGAAAAGCTCACGGCACTGGGAGAGCAGATCGCGATAGTATCTTCAAGAGACCTATCACGACTGAGAGATTGTGTAGGCTACAACGTCGCGACAAAGTATTGGAAACTTGCCCCCCACGAATTGTGAAAGCCTCGCGAGACAGGGACGGAATGCCAGCCGAAGGCGCATTGGACTTTGCAGAGCAATTGACGACCTTGGTTTCCCTAAAAGCGTGAACGGCTTGACATCTGCACGTCTGATGAACCTGTATCTGTATCGTGGTAGCTGACGAGGCTGCGAATATGTATCCATCTATAGCTTGACTTTCATGTTCTTTGCCCAAGAATTGTTGATTTACCTTCACGTCTTCCAGATTTGAGGCTGAAGTGAGAACCTTCCTATCTTGGTTAATGCCATAGAACCCTCGCCGCTGAGTAAGCGGAGAGCCAGTTAGTCGGTCCGTTGATTGGCCCATTAAGATGACCAGACATAAGCGCCAACGAAAGACACCGACGGTAATGAACCTGCCCTCCTCGAGATTTTTGATGATCTTGGTGGATGAATCATGTTCTCTGTAAGGTGACTGTGCGCACTAACAGTAAAAAATGCCCAAAGACACTATATCGCGCAGGGTCAAGCGCGGCCCCTCAGCGCCCAAGAAGCAGCGGCGCCGGGCATGTGACTCATGCTACAAGAGAAAGGTGATATTCTTCTCTATTTAGCGTTGGATGGAATAAGATCCACTGTGTCGATCTTGGCTTAACCATTATGGCCTTTGCAGATACAATGCGATGCGGAGTTTCCACAGTGTAATTGGTGCAAGCATCACAATCTTGCTTGCACATACAACAGACTTCAGACTCGCACGCAACCAAGGTATGTATAATATAAATTCCCCGCCAGAAATAGTTCTCTATTATTATGAACGGTATCGTTTATTGGCTTTTGGTCAAGCTATTAATCAGATTGGCTGCTTTGGCCATTCGTCACTGACCCCGTGAATTTACTAGGGACCAGCTACATCTGCAGCTCTCTGAAAAATCATCAGAAACAGATTCTAACCTTAGCAACTCTGATGTGAATCTTCACAGTTAGTATAGTCTATATCTAAAACTTTGTCGACAGGCATCCACGTGTCTTACATCTACCTAGGTGCCTCTACAGGCTCCAGCGCAGGCTCAAGGCGCACCCAACCTTCGAGTTTTGGTCTAGACTCCATGACCTGCTTTAACTGGATGCATCTGTTATCCGATGAAGGCCAGAAATGGATTGAATCTCGGACAGGAGAAAAGGTCCGCTTCGAGGAGCTATATGCCCCTGATCTTCCCTGGGCCAACACGCGTCGACTTTATATGGAAACTCTGAATTCCAGCTCCATTCGTGAACTCCCGAGTCGATGCTCGGTGGAGGGCTACGTCAAGCAGTACTTTGCGTCGTTCCAAAGCCTTGTCTTTCCCGTAATCAGCCAGTCGCTCTTTGAGAAGACCCTAGATCTTGCGTACGGACCACGCAGCTCTTTTGGCTCAGCCAGTGCTAGGTCATGTGTCTATGCATTCATCGCTGTGGTGAACCTTTTTGAGGTTGGGGACAACTTCCAGGAAGCCATGGATTGCGGGTACTTTGCCTCGGCGGCACAAACCTTCATGGTCCAGATCACTCAAGAGATGACCATTGACGGACTCCAAGCGGTCGTAATGCTTGTACGTGGTTATTTCATCTATAAAGATTCCCACCGCTTGCTTCATCACCTTTCGAACGATACTAACAACATGCAAGATTCTATTCCAGTACTTCCTAGGAGATTTACAGGCGGCGGCCGTATCTGTATCAATCGCCACCCGCCTCCTGTATACCCTTGGCGCCAATACCATGTCTGGTGCGTATTCACCTGATGGTTCACATTCTCATGACGAAAACATCGAGGAATGTCATTTGCGATATCTATTCTGGATTTGCTATTCATTCGACAAGGATATTTGTTTACGAACCGGACAGCCCCCCGCGATCAACGACAGCTATTGCAACCTGACACTCCCGTCTGACTACGCGCGGCTGCAGGACTCTAATATTCTGCGAGACACCATGTCAATGGATACCCACACTCTTCCGCTGTTTCCATGGGACCTTCGACTCTCCAAGATCAAGTCCGAAGCATACGAGGCCCTTTACTCTGCCGGCGCCCAACGCAAATCCGACTCCGAAATCCTGTCCAGCATCCGGAATCTTGACGAAGCACTAGAGCAGTGGAGGGTATCTTTACACCCTGACGTCCGACCCACCTTATTATTCTCGCACGAAATGCCGGTTAGTGCGAACCTGAACACGCAGGCAGTGATGCTGCGACTTGCGTACTATCACTGCGTCACCATGATCCACCAAGCCAGCGAAAGAGGCAGACTATCGAACGAAGGCACCGCGGGTGGGATTAATACCAGTATCAGCCTGGCTATCAATGCCGGCACGTCAACACTGTCTTATCTCCAGACAGTATTGCCCGTAGTGAAGGGTGAATGCTTTTGGTAAGAGACCATGCTCTAACTATACCTTAAGGAACTCGTAACTAACTGCAGTGGTTTCCGAAACCAAGGGTCCTCCTCTTTTACGCCATAACTGCCATCCTGACTCTCTTTCGCAATACCCTGCATAACCCCCTCGGCCCTAAAGCTCATTCCCACGTGCATATACTGCGCGAAGTTCCAGATTTGATCCGCCGAATTCCTATTCGAAAGCTCACATTGGGTGAAGCTATTCACTTAAGATTCCTGGATGGGTTCACTACCGAACTGGCGAGGTTAGGTGCATGCGCCATCTCTCAAGCGGAACGAGAGGCGGTGGTTTTGAGCGGTACTCAAGTATTGGATTCGGGTGTCGAGTATCCTCTATGATATTATACAATGTACAAAGTCCCAATCCCCTCCCAAGACATGTTCGCTCAACCTAGATTCCAAAATAATAGACGAGTCATGGTCTCAAACAGTGAACTGCAAAAGTCTAACAATCCCAGCGTATACCTAGCTCATTCCCACCCTATCCCACACAATGACTAACCCCAGCCTCGACGAGCAGCTTACAATACTGAAAATGAAGCCATACCACAGGAGGTGGAAACAGTGCCTCAGTAGTGTGCTCGACACTATTGAAGAAGATATTCTTTAGTCGGAATTCAGCCACCCGATTCTTTGTGTCGATATCAACGGTTATTTCCGAAATATTATCCATCTCACGGAGTTTATCTTGCTCCTCCATCGGGGACATTCCACCCCGCATGACGATAGACCTGGGGGTCTTCTCCAGAACGATGAAATGGTCTGTTACGATGGTCCCTATCCTCTGTATTAGTGCTTCCTAAGTCCGGATATTGAAGACAACTTTAAAACAAAGATCATACATACCTTCATCATAAGAGCTATGAAGCAACTGCTCCTTACTCCACAGCATGGAATCATTGGTTTTATCCTTGCATAGCAACGTAAGAATCCTCCGTTGGATTGCGTAGCCTGTTCACCATATACCTTCTCATCAGTCTTGCATGTCACAAACACCCCGATTTATCGCTTCCATGACCAATGCACGCTTGACAATCATCAACAAAACTCACCATATCCACCCCAAACACCCCCACAAAATCTTTCCAAAAGCTTGGAGCCACCATTGAGATAGTCCTCAACTAGTTCGGCTTTTACCTCCGATAGAGGGACCTTCCGTACGCAAGAATCATCTAAGGAGGGGTTTTGCTTGGGATTGAATCTCTGGAAATACTTGCTCTGAAACAAAGGATCATTTCCAGGACCGAAGGGCTCGAAATAGCAGTGTCGGGACCATAGTTGCCAGGTTGTGGTGCCGGTTAGGCCTGTTAAGATGGTATATTTGCAGAATGTAAAGAGTCTGGGTGGTATGAATCTGTGTTTGAGTCTGCCGAACGAGGACATGATTGGGGGCGAGGGTTGAGGAGCTTCTTGCTTTGAGAATGCGAATCGTGGAAGGGAGGATACAGCGGAGTATCATGTTTCGGGGGACCTGGATATTTATACTGGGTCCAGTGCAGGTACTGGCCGTAAACGATAATAATAGTCGTGGCTCATCTCATTCTGGCCGCTTATTCAGCGGACTGTGGGATAGGAGTTGGGGTTTGAGGCTTTTGAAGGTATGTGGTATTCTTCCTTTATGTGTGGACAAATAGTATAAATCTAGTGTTATCTCTAAAGGATGTAGGTTTACTAGTCTTTTCAAGCAGGGATTAACGTGTGTTTAAGCGTAACATGCATGCCTCTGATCAGATGGCTAGGGTGGATCTACTAAAAACATATAGGACTTGAATATTTAGAAGGATAAGCCTCACGAGTAGCCAGAGAACTCGAGAGCTTTACGACCTATATTATGCCAGGATTTAGATGGAAGATAATCACTGTGATAAGCAAATAATACCAGCTGGTGAATGCTAGATTATGACTGTGGCGCATACAGGTAACAGAGCTAGAAGAGACTTTTCAAATTAAATGAGATTTTCGTGGAATGCCTCCTCATAAATTATCCTGCTATTATCAGTCCCCCCCCCCCCATAGTCCAGTTCCTGCTTCAGCCAAGCTCCCCCGACGGTGCGTTGACTCTACCATCTCAATCGAAATACAGAAGGGGTCGTCTTTTAACCGTCAGGCACACCCACATGCGCCCACATACCGTTGCGAGATGGTTGATCGAGCTCGTCTCGGCCGGTCCCACATCGTTCCCCTGTGAATACAGCACACGCCTTTCGAACATAGGCATGAAAGTGACATGCAGTCGAACTAACTCCTCCAATGCAGAGACGAGCTCGGGGAAGTAAATGTGCACGACGTCAGTAATCTCGAGAGACTTGAGCGATGGGGGTAGTAAATCAAGGAGGGATTGTGGAGCAGCGCCATATCTATCCTCGATATTTGTATTTGGCAGTTGCACGAGATTGGCATGCCTCAGGGACAGGCATTCCAGAACACAGAACTCCCTGAAAGACTCGAGCGGAAGATCGTCACGTAGGAGATGAAGGTATACCTCCTCACCCCTCCGCAAGGCACGGTCTTCCTTGTATGAAGTGTGAAACCTGAGACAAAGATCCTTGAGCGTTTTCATGCACGGCACAAGACATGTGCGGAATGCGATAGGATCGAAGATATAGTTGAGGCATTCCATTATCCCGATATTAACTTGCAAACGTTCCATCTTGCTGCACGCTTCGATCCACTCGCCCAGGCCTCGACAGCCGTAAACTGGCGACATCACAAGCTCAGTGACCGGCGACATGCGGCCTGTCACGCCGCGAAAATCCCATTTTCCGCTGCGTTGAAAAGACTCCCACAATCCGATGACCTCGATCGTACGAACAGCGGGTAGATGAAATAAACCCGTTGAATAGCCCGAAGTACGTTGGAACAAGCTGCTATAGCTCATAAGAGTGACCTTTTGTAGGAATGGGAACGGAGTGGTCGTGCGAAACGGCCCTTGACGCAAGGCCGCTTTGTCAAAGATACTATTCATAAACCCTTCATCCCCATAGGTGAGCATGATGCTCTTCAGGTTATTTAAGCCAGTAAGCAGCACACCAAGCCAGGCCTCATCGGAAAATTGTCGTAGGTGTGCAGCTCACCGACATTTCTCTTTTTCAAATTCACATATCTCCTCTAATGAAGGACAGGTGGAGAGATGAATATACTCGAGGGGAGTCGAATAGCGATTGCAGTCGGCGAGAGTAGTTGCTCAAGACCAGTTTCGTGAAAAGATCGTCGTCGATGTATTGCCCAAGTAAAAGGAGCAACTCGTTCGGTAGTCTATCCATCTCGGAGAGTCCGTGCTGTTCAATGGGAAGTCTGCTAATCAGCCATGATCTGTTGGAACGTCGCAGCGTAGATCCCTCTGGTTCGGGGCAACGATGAAAATTGCATACCCAATGTTACCATAATTGGAATTAGTGATTGCACTTTCTTGTTGGATATCAGATCTAACGTACTCCGTGCCAATCTGCCTGTCGATATGCCTATATCGAAGGCTGCCTGGACTCTGAAGAAGTCGGCAGAGCTCAAGTTCTAAACTTCCGTCGTGCGGATCACAGAAGGCGTATCGAGCTTTGACATGTAGTCTCCATGTAGCTACACTGCTCAGCAATACCACCACTTATAGACAATAAGAAATGAATCTGCAGGTCAAGCAGTGTGCAGGTGTAAACAAGACTGACACTGTAGTCTGGTGAGCTCGTCACACGATCCTATGCCACGCATATAATAGGTAGCCAGGTTTATAGAGTAGAAAAGTCAGACAAGCTCTCTATTATTTCATGGGCTGGACCAGCCGGTAGTGTAAGAATGTATGTGTGACGACGTGAGCGCTGATTTCCGCGATTCGACATTGATAGTAGCGGTGTGACCACCGGCAACCGCTTTACAGCACCAACTCTAGAATAGAATAAATCGATGATTATGTATCAAGGGGAGAGTAAGAGTTAGAACAAACACCACATGATTCATACTATCTTTTTAATTGTTACTATTTCTGCTGGAGTTTATTTGGTACCTATCCATGTTGTATATGGATAGGGACTCGCTTTGTCGAGCGCCGAAAGTCCCGCTGTTCATATTGACGTATACCATGCGCCTATTGAGCATTTGGAGGTCAAATGGGTCTAGAAATGTGTTCAAGGCGATATTACAAACGAAGGAGAGTAAGTATGAGACCTGGGGAGTTGGTCCGCCCTAGCCCTAGCCCGGATAGACAGAGCTCTTGTATATCCTTAATCCTAAAATCGATGCTGATATGAGGCAATCCTCACTTCTTCATGACATACAGAGTATGAGAGGGCTGGAATTATGGATGTTGATTGATAAACATGTTATTTAGTGTGGGGAATTGGCTGAGTCGATCCAATGGAGTAGTGTGTCTCCACCGGATACGAGGAGACACTAGCCGGGGTAGAGAGAGGGCTCAGAGGTGCTCAGAATTCGTCTGAATCATCTGGAGCTCCTGTAGGGGATTTCTTTCAATCCTTATGGTGATACGGAGGGGATACAGTATATACATACAGTATTCTCGATTGAGAGCTCTTTAATGCAATTTTAATATTCTCTGTTACCACCCTTTCAATCCACAGGGTTCTGCCTTAATTCTGGGCGATAGTGAGAACTGCTAGTGGAAAAGCCCTAACTGATTCATAAACCTCGGAACCCAGTCTGAGTCATGCGCACTAGTTCCTGGAAGGTGGACGGGCAATTGGCAGAGATAAGAAACGTAAAGCCCGTCATATTCTCCAAGGCTAAACTCAAGCTCCAAGTCTTTTAATAAACCGCCTACCTCTTTGTTTTCCACATGTGACCTAATCTCCCCATTATTTTCATATATCCCCAGGTAGCATGTCGTCATACGTTCTCAATACCGGCGACTGGCTCGAACCAGGTCATAGTCTGAGGAGTAGAAACGGCGGAGTGGAGTTTAGCGTGCAAGCTGATGGCACGATCGCCCTCTATCACTGGGGTCAATGTGTGTTCCAGAACACAACCGAGCAGCGCAACGATATCAAGGGTTTGAAGATGAACAAAGATGGAAATCTTTGTCTGTAGTACGTATCCCAGTCTTCTTTGTGTCCCAATGCTCCGCGTTATTGTCACCGTACGTTTGTTCCAGCCATGGGTTCTGTAGGGCTGATACAGTGTCTTGTGTAGTACCAAACATGGCAAAGCCGTCTGGCAGACTGACACAGCGTATCCCATAGGGGACCGCAGTGTGGTCTGCGTCGTGCAGGATGATGGTAACATCGTTCTGTACAGGGGTGACAGAGCCATTTGGTCCTCTAATACCCCAATTGCTCTTGATCATGTTTGCTTTGGCAGTTGCATTCGGAGTCATGGGGATCCCAGGGGCTTGGAGAAATAGGGGTTTTGTATTATCCTTCGCGTGTAATCCGTATATACAGCCTGTAATTTTATCACAATGCTAGATATCAAATTCCCGTGCTTGATATACGAAAAGGTCAGCATTGGATAGTCTTGCATAGCCTGATGTATCCTCAATGCACTATTTATATCGAAACCTATACCTGGCAGGTAATCTGCACATCCGCGGGTTTTACTGTGCTCTTAAATCCTCAGGCACGGTATTGGAGATCCGATTAAGAGACAATGTCTACCAATAATGTCCTAGTTGGTCTTTCCCAAAGCTGATGGTAATACAGGAAGGCAACAATGAACATCATCTCGGACCGTTCCCTCAAAGATGAATACTCAACCGAGATAAAGATGGAATTACCCGACTTAGACATGGAAATGGTCCATCAGGGGTCAGGGAAAAGACACACAAAAAAGTCTGATAAGGTACTTTCCAATAGCGCTCTGGTACATTACACACAGGATCTTTTCAACTAGGGTTTCAGTTAAGTCTCCATTGGTACCTCCGTACATGCCCAGGACCGGAATATTGCCAAACAGTAAATAGTACTAGTTTAAGTCAGTCTCGTTGTCAATACCCCTCCGGAAGGACCATTCTTACGGTAGATAAATCCCATGTAGATCGGTTAGAGACCCCAGCAATAGTCGGTTTCAACGAATATGAATATCTATAAAAGCTGTACGATTCCAACTGTGGACGATACATTTCATTCCTCCAAGCCTAGCACCCGTTGGCAAGCCCTTATCACAGAATCATCCCAAGTGGTACTCCATCTTACCCTTATAAGGTTCATTATTGAGATCTGTGGAGCTCACAGAAAGTGCCCCTAAGTATATCACCTCGCCAGTGTGAATACACTACTGATAGAAGCCCGGCCAATACTGCAATTGTTGTGCCACAATTATTCTATCCATTTTCAGCGCTAGCGAACAGCACTCGTCTACAGAGAGTTTTCTACGCGTTCCGTAAGCCGCAGTCCACCATTTGTTTTGTATATCTCGCTGACATTGAAGCCGTTGAAGATTGGCATCGAAGCAAATCGTTCAAACACACATATACCCTACTAGAGCTGGTGGCATCGACTGAGATAGTATTTTGCACCAGCACATGGGAGATAGTGGGGCTCAAAAGTAAAATGTGCAAGGCGCTGTCTGCTATCACAAGAATTGATGAGGGAGTACTAAAGGACCCCGATATAGTGGACAGTTGCAAGCGTGGCCCAACGTATGTTTTGGGCATCCGAACGACAACCTCCAGTTAATGAACGCGGCGAGCCAATAAACGAAGAATGCGCCTACTGTATGATCGGAATCTTCTGTGTGTCCTACTGGTTTGTTCCACGATACGGCATTGGCCTGCCAAAAGCGATGCTTCGGCTCGAGCATGAAATCGTGCAAGCATACCCCAATGACCTTTCAATATTCGAATGGACACACAGCGATATTAATGACCCGTGTACAAATGGAACCCTTGCAGGATCGCCATTGCAGTTCCGCTCGTGCTATGATGTTAAAATAGTTAACGATGAGACCAAGATAGAGAAGGTACCAAGAAAAGATAAAATATTTTCTATCAAAGTGCACGCTATCCCTCAGCCTATGGACCGGATCGGCTGGGTCCTTAACTGTGACCACTGCGAGTTTAGTTCTCATTCGCGCACGCTCATTCCTCTGAGCAAAGGGCTGCCCGAATCGCCCGGAGTAGGGTGTCACCGTACGGACATTAGCAGAGTAAGGGATATTGAGGTGGACTTCGTGCGCAAGACAAAGAAAATAAACGGACGCCTCTATATCAGGAAAGATGGAACCGCCTTCTTTAAGCAAGAGGGTTCTGCTGCCAATCCCCCTGATGTTTTGATGGACTGGGGTGTTCTGCCTTTTCTATCTAGATGAATGAGCGAACAGCTTATCCTTTGTTTCTTCCCATACATCCACTGCCCCATTCTGTTATATGTTTCCACGTTTTCCAAGCTCAACGCTCGGTGTCACTCCTTGAAAATTCTTACAAATTTTTTGCTAGATGGCCCAATGACGATGCCATCTGTCTGGCCACTCTTTCTTTTGGCATTTTGTATCTGTTTTTCTAGACATATTACAAGAGTTTACCAGAATGCAATTGCTGGTTCACCTAGTCCATCTGGTTTATACATGTCGTAATAAGAGCTCAGTAGCATTGATTGATCCCACGGGTGGAAGAAGACTCAATACAGTAGGCTTATTGAACCAATCCCGTACTTAGTGAGTTATAAGACGATTTACGAAGGGGATGTGTTCGGCAGCGTCCAATAAAAGTCTAAAGGCTTTCCTGAGGTGCATGGTAGTTCTGCTGAACGCACTACATTGTAGCGGTGTTTGGGCTTTTCAGACAAACTGGGCTACCTCGGCTCATGGACCTCTACTTCAAGATTCATCTTCCTTAGCCCGACCCCTTCTATTACCTTTCATTCGATTCATTATTCTATCATTTCGCTTCAATCAGCTTCAGGATAGGGGTGTCCAGCCGTATTGGTCAGATGGTTTTCTTTGAGCATCCCGCAATAGTTATGTAGAAGGTCAATGGGTAACGGATTAGATGAATAAAGGTCTCTTAGAGCCAGACGGGGAGTTGTTTGAGATTCCTTTGTTGTCAGTGGGGGTTTTTTGTCCAGCCATTGGACCCACTGCTTTCAGTGTTTTATCCGAATCATATACTCTCACAAATAATGCCCTTTGATACTGAGTTTCGGCTGTAGTGGTCATGACAATGAACAGGCAGATATAGCACGGTACATGTTCGGTTCCATATGAAAACAAGTAAAGGGAAATAAAGCCTACGACATCCAAGCCGGATTACTTAGGGCTGTCTGGTAGGTACGCAGTGATGATGATGCGAGACCATGAAGACTAGGCCAGCAATAAAAGGCTTGCAACTCTCCTGCCATCGAGGACATAAATACGGTATGAAGAAACGGCCCGTTAGCATGGTGAATAAGAGAACGATCTCATTAACTACCTACTTCGGTGCCCTACCAAGTCTACAAATTTAGCACAAGAGCACCAAATTGAATTCATTGATATGTAGTTGGAGAAAGCCTCCATAGCTAGCTCTGATCTGGTATCTTAAGATCGCTCAACAGCCATAGTCGAAACATTTGAAAGGCCATTCTCCAGTTTCATATTAATGGTTCGGAAGGACCCGCTGCACTCTGAGGCAGTGTGGGTGATGCACGCCTGCTCTGTCCATCAGAGGCATCCCTATAACCAGTTGGCTTTCTTTATAGACCTAGAGCCTTTGTCCAACATGGTGGCCCTTGATAGCATCGTGGTTATAAGAGCTGAGAACTTGCCATCCTAACGATTGCTCAATCCAATGCTACAAATATATCAAACATCAAGGCAAGATTATTTCTGATTTACGTTCTAATTTGACCCCTCACGTTACGATCTCCTCTAATTCCCGAGCATAATGGAACGCGTCGCAGGCTCCCGGGATAATAACCATATTGGGGGTTCGCAAGCGACGCAAGATACCCGAACATATGCAATAGTTGCGGATGGGAGTCTCAAGCAGTGCCCACCGGAACACGTAGAGGTCACCATCTTCTCCTATACCTGGAGGGATTTTGACCTCGGTTCCCCAATTGCGAAGAGAAAGGACACAATGTGTGTAATATACGGAAACTTGGCTGGCAGAATGTACGCGCAACTCGCTACCTGCTTTAAATTCAACGGTGAAAATATCATGCTGCAACGGGACATGGATATTTTGCAGTATTCGTGGTACCGAAGGGCAGCTGTGTGTTTGGTATATCTCAGGGATGTCCAGTACACAGATAGTGGTCCGGAGATGAAAAATAGACTTCGAAGAAGCCAGTGGTTTCGAGAGCCCTGGGCCTTGCAGGAATTGCTGGCTTCAGAGCAAATTTGGTTTTATTCTCAAGAGGGCAAAGGCTTTGAGGAGACAAAGTCCAGTTTACTCGACTGGTTTGAGCAAGAGACTGGGATCGAAAAGTCAATTCTCCAGCATCCTCAGAATGTAGAGAAAGCTTGTATCGCGAAGCGTATGTCCTGGGCAGCCACTCGAAACTATGACACGCCGGATGCGGTACACAGCCTAAAGGGAATACTCACTGTGAATATGGCTTCAGAACGGGATGAGAGTACACGCGATGCTTTTCACCGGCTGCAGATAAAGCTGATAAAGAAGTATCCCCATAATCTTTCGATATTCGCGTGGAAGGTTGACCATCGGAATGGGCCTCACAGTCACGACACATTATTAGCAGATTCACCTAGGGAGTTTGCCTCATGCTCGAGGCTCGAACTCTTTGAAATCCAGTTGCCTGTGTCCCAAGTATCTAGAGGTGATGAAAATGTGTACCTCAATGTTCCTCTCCTCTATATGACGAATATTTATTACATGTTATGCCTTAACTGCCATGAACCTGGTACACCACTTGCTATAGGGATCCAGATTGTATTTATGCCACAAACGCAGTCCGTTCGCCGGTTTGATGTTACTGAGACCCAACGTTGGTATAAAAACCCCGAGTCGGCGAATATCAGAAGCGGACGTTTTGTTATAGAACCATCGGGGAAGGTAACAATTGAGAGAAACTAGTCTCGCTAGTAAGAATGCAGGGAAAGGCTGGCACAGTCAGAGGAGAGACAGCGTCATCCATGCAGAGCAGTCTTGCTCCCACTTCATTCCTCGGAGGCCACAGAGCCTGTACTGGTTACCTTTAAGATGCTGAAGAAACTTGGGTATTAATGACGAATTGCTATACGTTTTAAGTGCATCCACGTACCTTCTCTTTGACGGTCTTGCTATGCCTTTCCTCTTTGAGAAAATCATACTTCTCGTTGTATCCAAGTGGCGTTCTATATCAAGATTCAATCATGGTGCTTTCAGCTGAGTGGACCTTTAGCCACTACATGACACAAATTGCACAATGATTCTAAGTCGCTGTTTCATAGTGTCACTGAATTTGGCGCTTCGACTAACTACTGGCATTGAGTCTCTTAGGTAGACATTAAGATGTACAGTTCCGATTATATATAATCCTGCCGAATTACATGGTGTGGTAATCCTATTCTCTAACTCCTTATACATAACTCAAAATGCAGCTTTCGCATAAATAAACCAGCATAGCAACTATACAGACCGTATTACTGTGATATTAAATTTGTTAAAGGCATTAAGTTCTCCGTTGAGGAGACCCTGAACCAAGGCAATATAGCCCAGGTACCCGAAAGGATCCGAAGAGCCATGGCTCACGGGTGTTTCGATGGCCCGAGCTTTTATCTGACCGCCTACTGTATATTTACAAGGTGAACGTGAGTTGTTTAGTATGAAGGCGGCCCCTCTTCGTGTAATTCAAGCCTCTAAGAAAAAGCGCAAAAATATCGGCAAAGTATCAAGACTTAGTAAAATCTTTTCCAGCTAGCGTTCCCGTGCTAGCAATCGAGTGAGGTACAGGGATTTGGTGTTCAGTAAAAGGCAGCGCTTTTGTCAGGCAGAAGGAGGTGAGCGGTGGGGCGGTCTACGACGGTCGCTGTTTTCCCGTTTGGTGAATGAACTATGACCGGCCAAATTCCCCAGTTCCCATTGAAGAAAAAGTATGTTGAGACATCGGAACTGACGAGAGACGTTCAATGGGCTGGAGGGCATTCACCGGCGTCCTTACAGGCCCCTGGAGTATGGCACAAACGTGATGTGCTGTCGAGTTGGCTCGCAAGCCAAGATGATTGCGGAAGGTAGTCGTCGCATATGGTCCATGTGACCATGTATGCCCTGGGTTTGCTGCGAATGGAGACACGGAAGATGAGGGAAAGGACAGCCTCAACTCTGTCAGGGCAGCGCGGGCGAACGGTGTCGAACGGTGTATTTCCCAGATCAGAAGCACATCGCTGATCACGTAACCGCTAAGATGGTATGCGTATGCGTATTCTCGCTGGAGTAGAAGGCCTCCACGAAGGCCTTGGCCGCGTTGTCCATACCGGTTATCTCGAAGGTAGGGATCTTGAGTTTTTCTTCCTTGACCCATTGTTGCATGCGCTCCATATGAAGCTTGCCCCACTTCTTCCCAAAGCTGGGATCAGACAGTGCGAATCCGCGGATCGTAAGCCGTTTCAGAACAGTATTGTGCAAAAACATGCCGATGATAGGGTCCAACACGGTCTGCTCGGCGATCGTCCCATAAAACATGATCCGGCCGTACCGTCGCATGGACGCGAATGCTGCATTTAAATGTCTGCTACCGAGAAGGTCGAAATGGGTATCAAGCCCGCCGATATTCAGGCGGGACATCCAGCTCAAGTTATCATAGTATATATCGATGCCGTCGGGGACGAGACGAGGGAGAGCCTCGTAGGGACTCTCCTTGGCGTAATTAAATCCTCCATCGAAACCGAGTTCTGTAATAAGAAAGTCGAGTTTTTCATCTGATTCAACACTACCGAACACCTTCAGCCCTTCCAGTCGAGCCATCTGGCCGACGAGTTGGCCGATTTCGTCGCTCGCACCCGCGATGAGGATCGTTTCACCTTTTTTAGGTCGACCGATTTCGTATAACGAGGAGAAGGCTAAGAGACCTGGGACGCCCAGGACGCTGAGGAATAACCGAATATCATCGAACTCGCAGGGATTCTCGAGGAGCTTCAAGTTGGTCACGTCATTGGCTTTAATCAGTGCGTATTGTTGAACCGGCAAGCGACCGATGACCATATCCCCCTCCTGGAAATGCTCATTGTTGGATTTGGTGACTTTCGCGATACTCATCGTCTCAACCGGCTTCCGGCCCCGCAATTCCGTCGCGTCAGCCGAGGAACTGGCCAGGTCCCGTTTGAAAAGGTCGTAGGTCGCATAGAGGAGCTGTACCATTAACTCGTCCTCGGCGATCGGGGCGGTCGCATCATAGGGCACGTCCTCGAGGGTGACTTGTTCCCCGGCGACCAGATATCCGGAGTCCATATTCTTAATGACAAGGACCTTGTTCTCCGTGTCCTGATCCATCGTGACCCGTGTCATCTCCGCGAAAACGGAGACGTAGTATTTAAAATAAGCTCGAGGACAATCCCAAATGCATGGCGACGCGCTGGAGGTGCCTGAAAGTCGAACGCGCCACTTCTGAATGGCTTTTAAAGGATCAAATGGCGCGGAACATGGGGGAATTTGACATATTTCAAGTATGAACACAAATAATTGGAGTCCGTTAGGAGTAGTGGGGTGCTGACGACGGTCAATGAGGGGCAACCCTAACTATTTATCCCTATAGTGCGCCGTTGATCAATGGTCTGGTGGAGAAGGTGAGACACCCTTTTCCATGATCAGCAAATCCGAGTGAAGGGTACACGCCAATCGTTGAATCTTTCCGTCGGCAGAAAATCACATCGACGGTTGAGGAATGTTCTCACGGTGGTCGATGATAATCCTTGGAAGGATCTATTTTGAGGACATTGACGAGGGGGTGTGCCAGTCCCTACTAGTACTTACTTAGGGTTCTCTCGTACCACGGGGGGCCAACAAGCGGAATAGGGGCAAAAGGCAAACGCCCCCGTGACCAGAACCCAATCTGCATGATTTTCCATGTTTTGTCATTGGGTCAATGGGCCTCACCGCTCACGCACCGGGGAAGTTATGCCAGGTCAGCCCATTACCCACCGCCTTCTCCTTTCTCACGGCTCGCATGCTTAGGCACAACTTCTATATATAGGATCTTCCTCTCCACAACCGACTATTGACCCGTCTACTGACGCCAAGATCCGAGAATAGACCACTCTATTGCTATATCAGACTATCAGTTGCCACGGCGGGCATATCCAGCCGTTTGTGACGGGAGGCTCCGTGACTATCTCAATGAGAATACGTGTTCTCAGGTGGAACTGTGTGACAGAGAATTGAACAGTTGCAGTAGCTCGCAACCCTGATTTGTTCCCGGGTTCCTCCTGATTTGTCCCTACTGACAGCATGCGTTAGTCCATGCCCGTTTAGAGTTAGAAGTGTCGTTAGCTGACACCGTTTTCAGCACGGATGCCAATAATTTGACATTTATTTTTAGCGGATTAATATGAGGGTGAAACCCAGAACCCGCGTGGAAAATCAATAGTTTCCAATGCCACGTGGAAGACGGCCCGGGAGAAGGGACCAAGGTCAGACCACAGCGAAGGGAGGTGGAGATTGATCTTGATATTGACATTGCAAATGGCTGCACTATACGAAAGCAAAGCCTAATTCCCCCATATGATGACGTTCTTTAAGACAAAGTCCAATATACCCGAAGAAGTACCTTCCCCCAAGCCCGACTAAATATAACTTAGTCATTGCGAGCATACAGCCGAGATCAACATCTATACAATCTTCGGCAATGCAACCAATAGTGTTGTGGATCGTGCTCCTTAGATGTCCGTGCCGTTCGACGCATTTTCCTCTTTCGGACACATTGACTGAGTTTGCAAGTATCGGATATATTTTTGCATCAAGGTGGAATCCAACACAGGAAACTTGAGACCGCCAGGGTAGCTCTCCAGCGCTTGTCCCGTGTTGGTGGTGTCATACAGGGGCATGTTCTCGTACAGCTCCCACCGTGTGAGTCCTTGGTATAGCTTTTCCGTCAACATCGGTTGTAAAGGCCGAAGCCGCTCAGGGGACTGTCTATCTAACTCCTCGATCCACTGCTGGTAGCTTACACCACGGACGGAGGAATCGCCTCCCTCGGTCAAGGAACCAACCAACTCCATGGAGTCATTCATATCCAAGGAGAGGTCCCGGTTTGGAGGCACAATATGATATACCCGGCCCACAGCAGTAGCCGCTGAGGAGGCGATATGCAGGATAACGGCATTGACGTAGTCAACGGGTACAAATTCCTTCCTTTGATTTGGAAGTAGAGGATAGGACCCCATCTCTTCGCAGGCAATGATTAACCGGCTGAGAAAGTCATCGGGGTTACAGACACCAGTTTGGCTATGTCCCGTGATAAAGCCTGGCCGATATACCACAACGGGAAACCCGTTATCCATCAGACGTTGTAACATGTTCTCCACCACCCACTGGCTTTGGGCATATCCGTGGTCATAGGGAAGGGCGTCTAAGTGTCGCAGAAGGGATTCATTCTCCATAACGGTCCGTGTGCCTGTTACAAACCCCGTCGGGCCGAAACAGGAGATACTAGAAACATAGTGCAATGCTTTGGACCGACCAGCACATGCCAGGCGCAGGACATTCACGGTACCTTGGACATTGGCGGGACGATGCAGTGAATAGGGCTGGGTGTAGTTAACTCGGGCACCGAGATGAAAGACAACACTAGCCCAGTGGGCAATTTCCTCAAACCGATCCGGCCCTAGCCCAAGATACTTGTCTTCTAGGGTGCCACAGAGAGGTAATAGTTTATAACGAAACTGGTCCTCCCAGAGGTTATATTTCGCTAGCGCATTTTGCAGACGCTGAAGGCCCGTCGCTGGGTCCACAGCGCGTACCAAGCATCCGACCTGATGCACGTTCGGCTGACGCAGTAGATCAGCAAGTAAGAACGACCCTACAAAACCGGTAGCCCCGGTTAAGAACGCCCGTCCCTCGGTGTCACGACACCAATCGACTGGAGGGCCCGCAAGAGGGACTAGGCTGTCCGCAAGCTTGCTATCCTCAAGCCACATGTGCTTTTCTGACTCCTTGCAAAAGCTTTCCTGGGTGCCGAGTATACGTTCCTCAATTATACCGGCCAGTCCAATGAGACTGCTATTGTCATACAGTGTCAGAAGAGACACCTGAACATCAAAAGCTCTCTGAATGCGACTGATGAGCAACGAGGCTTGCATGGACGTAGCACCAAGGAGGAAAAAATCAGCATTGTCATTGGAAGCGGGGACAGGTACACCCAAAATGCTGGCCCACAGGTTGGCAAGTTTACCGCGCGTGCTATCCTCGTTGTCGATATCGATATGCTGTTCAGCCCACCGGTTGCGGAATAGCTGCTCGAGGTACTTTCGGTCAACCTTGGCATGGCTATTGACAGGCATTTTGGAGATGAGCTCAATCTTGGGGACCATGTAGTCCGGCAGGACAGCTTTAAGCATATCCACGGCACTCAGGACCGCGTGAGGCTTAGTTCCAGAGAGGGCAACTGCAAAGGCAACCAGGATGGAACCGGCTCCTTCAGAGCCCGCTTCTACCTTCAGGGCTACTGCCTCGGAAAACTGTCCCGTTTTCATAATCGCAGACTCGACGGCTTCGAGCTCAATTCGAAACCCACGAACTTTGACTTGATGGTCCCGTCTTCCGACGTAGTCAATTTGGCCATCTGTCACCCGTCGGCGGACAATGTCCCCTGTTCGGTAAAACCGCTCACAGTCGCTACCTTCAATAGCCACGAAGGAAGCTCGGTTCTTGTCTGACTGGTTGATGTATCCTGGGGAGACACCTGCCCCTCCGATAAGCAATTCACCTTCGTGGCCATCCGGGACTGGGTGACCAGCTTCATCACAAATATAAGCTACAGTCCGTCCGATTGGCTTTCCAATGCTGACTGCTCCGGCTTGCACATCGGCGATGGTCACTCTGTGTGCAAGGCAGAATATACAGCACTCAGTCGGGCCATACGCGTTGATGAGCTGTGTTGGCGGGCCTGCTTGGAAGATAGTCTCAATGGCCGGAATATTGGCAGCTTCGCCTCCGATGAAACATAAGCGTAACTTCTCAAATGCACGAGGGTATACCGACGCTGCCAAATTGAGAATAGCGGTGGTAGTAGCCATCACCGTAATTCTCTGCTGATCGATGTATGCTGCCAGGGCTTCTAGATCGAGCAAGGTGACCTTGCTCACCACCACAATGCAAGCTCCGCGTAGCAGCGGTGCCCAGATATCAAAAAGGGAGACATCGAAACTTGAGTTGTTGACATGGGTCACTCTATCTGTTGGGTACAGAGGCTCGAACGGCGCATGGAAGACCACCTGCAGAATAGAGCGTGCCGCGATCTGAACGGCCTTGGGTTCGCTGGTCGTGCCGGACGTATGTATGATGTGGGTGCGATGCTGGAGGGTTGTCTGCATAGGCTCGTCATTGTCCGAGACGTACGAGTCCTTGGCAAACGACGCGCTGGAGTCATCGACGACTAAGGAGTGGAATGGCAGGTCACGATGCTGGTTAGCCTTGTCGACGAGGATATACCTTGCCTCTAACCTGTCTAGTCGACCCTTGATCTGCAAGTCAGGCAGAGTTGGATCCATGGGAACACAAGTACCCGCTGCATACAGGATAGCCATTTGGGCAACCACATCTGAAATTCCATGTTGCACGACAATACCAACCGGCTCTTCTATATGCAAATTTCCCTGTTGAAGTTCTTGGGCAAGCACTGTAGCCCTCACATGCAGGTCCTGATACGTCAAATTGGTATCACCATCCACCAGAGCAAGGGCGGAAGGGTTGAGGAAAACATGATCGAAGAATTGTTGGGCAAGGCCCTTCCCCTGGCGTACAGCCAGGTCATACTCTTCCTCATGAGTCAATATTTGAGAAGGCATCGAGGGTGTCTGTTTGGGTCGGTAGTAGAATATTCTCTTGATAGGCAGAGAAGGAAGTTGAGCTACACAAGTCACCCTGGAAGGAGCTGTTTATATACGCCGTCCAATGCTTTGTCACCTTGTACATACAGAGCCTCGTTCATATTGTCAGCAGTACTGCATTACTGCATGATAAACCGAGAGAAGACCCGAGCGCAAGGAATCCAACCCTGATATCAGGCCGCCCAGGTAAGACAGTATCCTGAAGCTAGGAAGTCCCATACCTTCATCGGAAACCGCTGTATAGCGCCATTTATAATGGGTATATGGTGTGGCATCGTGGGAAGCACTATAGGCCAATGGGAGGCTGTCATCGAATGCGAGGGCGGCCTATCCATGCACATAAGGGCGTGATGTTAACCTAAATAGATGATGACACGAGCTGCGTCCTACGAGCCAAACTCAGATACTCCAGTATGTGCTTAACGCAGCTCGTTTGATGCCGCCGTTCATTGCGTAATGATGCTGCCTGCTGCCTGGAGCTCCCATTCTATGGTTGTCAGTTATCTATAAAGTCAGGCCCAGATGCGCAAATTCGGTTTTCGGAAACCAACTCAGTCTTCCTGTTCTTTTGATGATATCTACCAATTCATTACAAGACTTGGTCTACCGAATACAGCGGCTCCCTGACACCATCTCGTCATGAGCTCAGATCGTAAGCTCATCACCATCTTCGGGGGTACAGGCAAGCAGGGTGGTTCCGTGGCTCATTCGCTGCTTCAAAGCCCAGACTTTAGAGTACGGGTGATTACTCGAAACCCTGAGTCTGATGCCAGCCTAAAGCTTGCTGCCCTCGGAGCCGAGCTCGCTCAAGGAAATGGGTTTAGTAGCGATGACATGCTGTCAGCATTTAGCAGCTCTTGGGGAGCATTTGTCAACATCAACTCTGATGACAAGGTATGGCTTATGCTACCTCGACAGAGTCAAACTGTTAACAGGCGTATTAAGGTCTTTACTACTGAAGGCGGGCCAACAGAGTTCGACATGGGCAAGATAATCATTGATTCTGCTGTTCAGGTTGGTGTGAAGCATCTCGTCTTTAGCTCTGGCCCCCCTTGCACTGAGATGACAAATGGCCAAGTACGGATGAAGGCAATGGACAGTAAGACCCCTCATCACAGGACCGTGGACCGGAGTAATAAGAATAACACCCGGACAGTGAAGAACAAGATTGAGAATTACGCAAAGAGCCTTGAATCTTTCGAGACCATTACCCCTATTGGCGCCGGCTGGTTTCTAGAAAACTTCCTCGGCAAAGAGGTCGCTCCTGTGTTCGGAGGATTTCCTTATTTCCCTGATGACCACGGATACCTTACTTTCAGAGTACCATACTGGGGTGGAGATGAGCATGTTCCATGGTTGAGTGTCTCAGACGACTTCGGAGATATTGTTCAAGGTATCTTCCTGGACCCTGGTCGATGGAACGGTCACTTCGTTCACGGTGTAAGCGACATCCGCAGTTTTGAACAGGTCGTAGCGGATTTCGCCGCGGTTACAGGATGCAAGGCGCGGTTCCAGCCCATATTACCCACATGGGAGGCATTTGATACGCATGGAATCCAGGAGCTTGAGGACGTGAAACTCATGTTTGGCTTCACGCAGCTGACAGGCGGCCGATACTTCGGGCCGGAAGCCACGGAGGTCGATACCGCCAGGCAATTGAAGCAGATCACAGCGTTGAAATTGGGTCGGCCGGAAGAACAGCACAAATTGACTTCTGCGCGTGACTGGTTTGCTGCGAGATTTACAAACTAGGGTATTGCTCTTTGTGATCTATGGACTCCTTGCTCAGGATTGTATAATGGGCTACTGATATGGCCCGAGCTACCTAGCTGATTATTGTATCGAATGGACGTTAACTTTTATTGGGACAACCCTGAAGAGAGTAGTACAGTACGCATGATTGCCTTGGAGCTTTCAAATAGAACTCTATCCAATTATAGATGTCTCGTCTGGATTGTGCTGTGGTTATGGATCAGGCCCACCAAAGCCAGCGGCTGGATATACGCCACTAATATGCCATGTGTCATGCTCCATGCATATTCAGACCTGAGCAGGACAGGTCAGGAAGGTACCGATCATCTGTCACACAAGCATAGTCGAGTGTCATAGAGATTCATGCGTCTTCATGCACTACTAGTAAGACCCGTAGCGATCGGCCGGAACTTAAGCGCCAAGGGTCCAGACATATTCGTATTCAACGCTCCTATATGGTCCTATTGGAGGATACGAGGTCCGAGTCTGACAGCGAACTACATCCTTCCAGCACATAAGGCCACCGTTGAGTTTGAACTTAATGTTCCGCCGCCATACATCTTATCACACAGACCCACCGAATAAGCATTGATCCGCCATTAGTGGTTATTACTGTGATTGTGGATGCATTAGTGGCAGTGTATATGTACATGTTTCCTGTTCTGTCGACTTACATACCGGATTGACTTTCATCTTCAATGATTCTCTGAGCCGCTGACCTTTCAATATCGTCTACCAAGTGGAGTCCCCTTGTGAAACCTCACACATCAAACATTGTGGTTACAATGCTTTGTATTACGGCCAGCCCGTACAAGACTAGAATACGGGGCCGGTTGGAGGACTAAGTTGCTTTCCCGGCTTCAATCGGAAAGGCCATGCAGTTGGCATATTCCGACCCATGGATACCGTGTGCTACATCGGCTGCCGATCATATTGAGATCCAGGCAACCCGGTTGCTATCGTACCACCCGACATGTCTCTGCCACCTGCAAGTTTTGAATTCAATTCTCGGCACGTAGTTCAGCGACCTCGTATAGAATGCATCTCCTGATTCTATTTACATGGCTTGACCATGGGTCAAGCATATTCAGGTCGGAGGGTTCTGTTGGTAAAAGTATAGCCAACTTCGAAATGGATGTAGTGGACACCGGTACATTGCACAGCGGCTGAAAGTTCATTTCCAAGACCTCTGGCTAAGGCGGAGAATCGTAAGCCTGACCCTGAGGCATTCATTGTGCAGGATAGGCCTATACGGATACGAATATGCGCTGTAACCGTAACTACTGCTGTACGATCGATACCTTACCACGAACCTCTTTCTATGACGTTGCTACGTGCATGATCATATAGCGATGATAAACTCTGGTATTCTCCTTGCTCTACAGCCTATCGGAGTCTACGCAAACGCATTTGACATCTGAAAGTCGGGGTGGAGAAGATGTAAGAACCTGTCTTGTCTATTGCCCCCTTGCCTCCTTGTGCAACGACCGCACTCTCCCAAAAATGGCATAGCACAACCGTATTCATGTTCTCCTCTTGATCCGAATGATGTGGGATAAGTGGGGTATGTTGAGATCCGCAAAAACGATATTGTCCGGGCGTTTGTCCAGTGGCTGGATGTCATAATTGATGATGATGTATGCAATGGCAATCTTCATCACCTGGAACGAAAACCATCGGCCGGGACTGAAACCTAGTTAGTGTAGGTAAGGTGGAATAAGGAACCAAACTCCTTACCATGCATGTCGCCCATGACCAAAAGTCAGATACTTCTCATTTGTCAAAGGCAGCACCGGTGCTTTGCCGCTCCCAGCCCCAGCCAGCTTTGGAACAAAACGGAATGGTTTGTAGGTCTGTGCATCATCGTAGAAGTCGTCGTCTCTCTGGATGTTGCCGGACAAAACACACAGCCAAGTCCCTGTTGGGACCTTCTGTCCGTCAGGTAGCACAACCCCCCCACGACGTACGACCTGCCGATGGAGGGATCTCGGTGATAGCGAATTCATCCGCAGGCTCTCCCGAATGGCGCTGTCGATATGATTCAGTCCGTGTGACACGGGCTGACCAGACTTCTTGCTTGAAGCGAATACTGACTTTGCCTCCTCACGGATGCTATCAAGGTAAGCGTGCTCCGACTCGGAGCTCAGCAGATCAAGAAGTACATTTGTGCATGTCGTCCAGAGATTATCCGTTGGTAGGAGGGCATGTGCGCAATCAGCCAAGATCTGGGAATATACCAAGGGACTAGGTTGAACCACGTACCAAAATTCCAAGCCATGTTACCATTTCGCTGGGGCTGACCGACTTAGGCCCGACCCCGGCAATCACGCTATTTGACATCCAGGTAATCAGGTTCCCTGGCTCGCCTTCGAGTAAATTGTCCTTCGTCCTATCTTTCGCTTTCAGCCGCTCCATCCGTTCCTTGAATAGTGGGGACAGGTATGATCGGACCCGAAGGACATAGTAGTAAACTGGCAAACCCGCAAGCAGCGCTGTAACTTGTCTGAGGGGCCAAGGTGTAAGCTGAGCTGCGAACACCATAGCCGTTCCCAAGGAGCGGGCATATCCTTTCACATATGCCATATATGTCGGGTCTCGACAGAGAGCAAGTCCCACATAAACGCGCTGCGTCGCCTGGTACATGATCCTTTCGAAGACTTGAACCATATTCACCTCTTTCCAAGAGTCCGTCTGACCGACAATCTCATCCATGATGTGCTGCACTTCTGTCAAGACATCCTGCTCTGTCTGTGCAACATTTCGAGTCAGATCATTCTGGAGGACTTTGGCGAAGGAGTGCAAAGCTGATGCATCGAACAATGGCCAGATATACCCCAGCGCATCAGCATCGTCACTGGCCTTGGCATGAGACAGGATATCCTCTGGTTGGGTGACCAGCCAGCGCACATGCTCCGGGGGTAGGATGACTTGAGGGCGAAAGTTGATGTTCAGCATTGCAAAAGACTGTCCGTTTTTGGAAAACTGTACGGCCGAAAACGATAGCGTAAGCCTTGTCTTATATGAAAGAGTTAGATGGACGCACCAATTCGTATCCTTTTGTCAAACTTTTGTTTTTGGCGTTGATCTCATTCAAGCATGCCCGAAGTGCTGATAACGGCCCTCTTCCATTGATTGGCGATTTTAAGGACGATGGCAATCTAGCGTAAGCAATCCATGGACATAGTAGGAACAAGGACACAGCAATACAGGTAACTGCTGAGGCTAATTTCAAGACCCCAGCGACGATGGTATACTGCTCTTCCGTCATTGTGAATGCTATGCGAGAATTGACAAGGTTGCTTGTCTATAATATGTCCTTGAGCTTCTTTAATACCTCTAACCAACCCCTAGACTACAGCGAATGTAATGCTTCACAGTGCCATTGAATATGTGACGAGTGCAGGATATCTCAGTCTCGATGGAATGTAGCCGCTTTCCCATGCTAAACTCAGTCATATGCACAGTCTTTTCCTACCCATTCAATCTCCTTTTCCGACTTCTCCTTAGGACTCATACTGTTTGGTCCAAACTTTGTATCTGTGCATTACAAAAACATTCTAGTCATTGGACGCCTATTATTTACTGTGTAGAAGATTGGCTGCAGATCTTGGCACGCCAAATCACACTCCATGTTCGTATTTGACACATTGCGACCAAGCCCCGACGCAAGGGAGACCAAATTTACCGTAGCATGGAGTGTTGGGTAATATATGATTACGCCTGAGTCTGGTTTTGTATCCCTGAGCGCCACATTTAGAATACAGTTGGCTAGTGGTTCCAGGGAACCGGTCAGCTTATTCAACCTTACGCGTTCAGGAGTAGCATGTTCTAGACGTTGGATTGTCTTCCTGGTTGTCAGGTTCTTTCATCAAGAATGGTATCTAACGTAGGCCCATGTCCTTTTACATTGATCCTCTGTAGCAAAATGCTCTATCGAGATTGAGAATTTCCACGCACAATTAGAATGCCGGCTGAAAATATGGGAGCCAGCTTAACGGCACAAATGCTTGTCGCTTCTCTTTGTGTTCTGGTCTTTGTTCTACTATGTCCTTGGTTTGGCTATCTCAGGTTACCGTCATCTATGCGATGGTGGCCCTCAATCCCTAGTGGACCTCTTTCTGCTCTTAGATTAAGTCTCAAGGAATACAGTGGGTCCAGGTCCAGTGAGGATGGCTATAAAAAGGTTGGCACATGTGTTGAACAGTTTTCTATTCACATGCTGACGAGTTCCTTTTCTGAGTATTTGTAGTTCTCCACAAAGGCCGAGCCATTTGCAATATGCAACCCAAGCTTCTATCCCCAGGTCTTGCTACCACCAGAGCAGATCCCATGGCTCCTGAGTCAACCAGAAAACGTCCTGTCCCACGAAAAGGCCAACGAAGATGTCCATGCGCTCCCATTCCTCGCCCCAGCATTCGACAACTACGACCATCTTGAACTGATTAGGGCTGTCCGGAACGACCTTACTCGAAATATCGCGAATACTGAAGACGCATTTCTTGATGAACTGAGATATACCACAGATGAAGCACTCGGCCCTCCCGGTGAAACTGTATGGAAAGAAGTTAATCTCACTACAGTATTGGACAGCGTAATCTTCGGAATATGTCTACGGCTCTTCTTCGGAGTTTCTCTCTCCAGGAATCGGAAGTTTGTCTACTATGTAAAGGCATTTACTCGGGTCACTGGAGCTATGATGCTCTTCGTGTCTCAATTTGTTCCCTGGCCGCTGAAATCCGTCGTTGGTCTCGTTGCCGGACTTCCCATCTATTATTACTGGGTGCGTCTCATTATATACCTGTATCCGACATTCAAGGAACGCATACATTGCCTGAGAACCAAGAAAGAGACTCCACCAGCAGACATGGTCACATGGATGGTTGATCTGGCCATGAGCCAGAATCCAACACGAAGATTGAACATCAGCGGTCTCATAGTCCGACTTACCCTCATCGTAAGTGCATATATCAGCGGGATTTCAGTCTCAGGATAAAATGAAAGCCATACTAACTCCTTTATCCACAGGTATTCCTCCCCGTCGACGTGCTCATAGCAATGACGGCAAACTTCTTCCTCGACCTCCTGAGCTCCGACCCCGACTCCCGATACTACCAAACCCTACGTGAAGAAGCCACAGCATCATTTGCAAACCGGGACAAATCCCAACCCATCTCCCAATCAATGCCACAGATGGAAAGCACCATTCGGGAAAGTCTCCGTCTCAGTCCGTTATCCGACCGCATGCTATCCCGACGGGTGGTCCAAAAAGAAGGCATCACACTTCCTGACGGGCAGTTCCTGCCCCGTGGTACCTGGCTTGCCGTAGCCGCGGTTGGTGTTCATCATGATGAGCAGACGTATGAGGATCCGGACGAATATCGGCCCTTTCGCTTCCTTTCAACGGATGATGAAAAACAGGAATCGAAGGCGATGATGATCCCGGTGACGAGTGAGAAGTTCTTGGCTTTTGGGCATGGGAGGCATTCTTGGTAAGTGGTTTATCCACTCTGTTGATTCCAAATAATGTTGGTACAAGGATGGTAATTGACTTGTGTAGCCCTGGTCGTTGGTTTGCGGCTCATGCGATGAAGCTTATTATTGGGTATGTATTGATCAATTATGATATCCAGCCCTTGGATAAGAGGCCGGCGAACTCCATTGTTGGTCAGACTATTTTTCCTCCACTAGATGTCAAAATTCGTGTGCGGTGGAGGGAGTAGTAATAACTTGAGGTGGCTGAGAGGTGGTTGAGGGCGTTGTTAGATGTATCGCAGGTATAATCTCAAGTTGGCCTACTAGATAGTTGCTTGTATGTGTTACTTGGAAGTCCATTCTGGTTTCAATGACAGTTTAGTTGAGCTTGTATGAATGTTGAAAACAATGCCTTAATTAGCTAAAGGTATATGACAGACATAAGGTGCTCTATCATTGATCTAGCGGATATACTTTTAATTTGTCGACATAGCAAGTTGAGTTTGAGCCCACCGTCCCAGAAGGCAGCAAACATTTCCATCACCATATCTTCATCTTAACACCAATCTATCAACAATATCATGAATGTCCTAAGCCTTCTCCATCGGAAAGCCATTCTCAGCCAAGAACTGACTCAACTCCCGATCCTCCTCCTCCAGGTTTAACTCACTACTCTCCGGCAAGAACCAATACACGATCATGCCGAGGATAGCAACACCACCCGCCAAGTAGAAAGTCGACTGCTTGCCCGCCCTCTCCTGCAACGGCGTGAAACACTGCGTCCCAACGGCGGCACCCGTTCTTCCAAATGCAGTGGCAATACTGTACCCCATTCCACGCATGGCGGTGGGGAACGACTCCGTTGAGATTAGTCCGATGGTTGCGCCGGGCCCCATGTGGCCCAAGGCTTGTAGCAGGCCGTACAGGACCACGAACGCGGGCATATTCTTTGATAGATGAGGGAATGTGCCGCCGATGACGAACCCCAGTACCATGTAGCCGGCGAACCCGAGAATGCCGGTATATCGGCGGCCGATTGCATTGGTGAGCCAAGCGCCTACGATGACTCCAGGTACTGGGAGAGCGCCGAGGATGACCTGCCAGATTGCCGTGGTCCGAATGTTGTGGTCCTTCACCAGGGAGTTGATGATCGTACTGGACATGATGCTGTTGGGGAAGTTGATGAAATCATAAAGAAAGAATGCCAGGGATGTGGTGAACAGACGCCATCTATAGCGTTTCAATAGGAGGAGGTAGAACTTGAGGGGACGTTTCTGGTGTTTGAAGTTCGAGTAGTGGAATAAGGTTGAGTCGGTCATGAAGAAACGCAGAACCATGATTATTACTGGCAATATCGTGGCAATCGAATATATCGCGTGGAAGGTGACTGGGAGGTTTTCATTGCTGGCAATGAGGCAGATGAGATAGATGATCATCTGAATGGGCGCAGCTGAAGTCGCCATCAGCGTCGTGAAGGAAACAAACAGTGGTCCACGGTATTTCCTTTTGAACTACTAAAGTTTAGTATATCTATACCATAGGTGAACAGAAGCAGTGTCTGCCTTACGTCGTCGGATTCCTCAATGCCAGCCGCTGCGCTTGGGGGATACTCGCCCCCAACACCGAAGCCAGCGATACCTCGCACTATCACAAAGTACCAGAGCATATTGCGCGTCGGATGCACTTGGAGCGCAAGTGTAGACATCAGAGTTCCGACCGCGACGAGACCAGAGGTGAATAGTAACCCTGCTCGACGTGAAAACATATCTGATGTGTATCCCAGGGCGAGAACACCCAAGATGGCGCCGATTAGGAGCGAGTTGCTGATGCGCGTCTGCATCTCCGAAGGGTATCCATCCGTGCCTAGGAGCTTTTTGAAGATCACATTGGTAGGATTGGCAAGACTATTTTGGAACCCGTCGCTGAAGTTGGCGATGTACTGCATGAAATATCAGTTCTCGCTGCATGCTTCGCGTCAGCAAGGTTCAACTCACACAGCTAACAATGGTCAAATTACTTTGTAATTTCGTGGGGCGATAGGAGTCCCGCCTGCTGGGGTCGGGAGAATTGTCATAGACTAGTGTGTCTTCTTTGACGGTGGTTTGCGTGGCTTCAAGCTCCTTTCCTGCCTCTACGGGCGCATCGGCCCTGGCGTCTGCCATTCCATTCTCTGGATCGTAGGCCATGGCGAATTATGACAGGTGAACTCCTGCACACCGTAACCTGAGCTCAAGGCAGTCCAGAATGTTTAGAAGACGCACTGTAAGCACGACGCTGATCGAGATTTAAATCATTTTGCATCAGCAACTAGGAAAGGCTTCGGTTTCGGGCGGTCTCCGGACTAGGGCTACGAACCCCACTGACGATAAGAAGCGTGCAATCAAGCAACCTAACAAATCGGGCCCACAGGCACGGTGGCGGTTAAGCTCTTCCTTGGCTGGTACATAATGTAACCATTCGAGTTTTGTGGCCTGCTTGAGTATACTTGGTTGTTGTTATGAGGCCATTGCTCTCCTGGGCTAAGGTAGCATGACGTATACAGCCTCAGTTGATGAGAAGGGGACGTTTCGTAGAAAACCAGACCATTCTTACCGGGAGGGAAATATAAGTGAATGGGCCATTCCAATAAGTCAACTGCCAATCACCCAGCTAGACACATTGCTCGCAGTTACCGTGGTGGAGTCAGCGCTCGGGCCGAAAACCGGGACGGCTTCGCTCTCTTGTATACATGCCTCATGGCCTTTCGGGGCATACCTTGGTCTAGTTGTGAGTTGCTTGATATCCATGACTCTCGATTTTATATAAATCTAATGCTGCATATGCACGCTGTACAAGTCATAGCTGGAGGCTTATCTTTGCATGAAAACGGTCTCATCTCTCTCATATCTAAAGTGAAGTGGAGACAGACTTACCCCGAACTAACTGGGGGAATAATAGCTACTTCATCACCGTCCTTGATAATCACCAGGCCCTGATTTTGGCCCTCTTGGGCAGCTTCCATATCGCGGAGTTTCGCTTTCTCCTCCTCCACATCCACGTATTCCACATTAACACTAACCCCACAACTCGTTAAAATCTTTTCCTCAATCCCAGGATACTTGGATTCCAAGACATCGAACAATTTCGCCAGCGGAAGTGGTGCGGGCAGAGACTCTGTTTGACGGCCCGTATAGCTCGATGCGCTGGCGAAGTAATGAACCTGGAAGGCCCCGGTCGCTTGAGCCATTGTTGGTGAATTTATTGCTTCGTGGGTATTTTCGTCTGTGGTAGCTCACAGGTTTACCCCTAGATTAATTAGCAAAAGAGGTCTCCTTTTTTTTTTTTTTTGCCGTGGGGTGATATAGTTACCAAAGAAGCGTGGGATCAACAAGAAATTTCTCTCGGTTGGCAGAAACGTGCAAATTTGGTGTCTACCCGCTGGATAACACTGTCCACTCCAATTAGCAAATCATCTGGCTTTATCTCCGCGGGCTGTGATTGCACCTCCGAGCAAGATGGCCAGAGTCTGCAGAGCACAGACCCTAAGGACGAAGCTAAGGCTGCGCCGTATGTCCCAAGTGGAGTCGCTCTAGCCTGGCGTCTTTTCCGTCTTCGGCAAGACTATGGAGCGAATCATGGCTGCGTCGTGTCGCATTTCGTTGCAAGTTTTAGATGGCTTGATACACGGCACGCCCTGAAGCTACGAGCGAATGATAGTCGAAGTATTGTTCTGTATCGTCATCGCGTATACAGATAGTTGGATTGGCTGCTTACCTGTCCTGTCGGACTTTCTGATTTACCTTGCCAGGTTGGTGGCTGGGATTTAGGTTGACGCGAGCCAATCCTGCAGAGCTTGGCCTCGTCTTGATATGACGCCAAGCATACTATAGGACACTAATCTATATTCTTCAGGCCAGAAAGATCAACGCATGAACGATCCAGTCATATTGTCAACGGCGCAATAGTATTGGACTAAATGTATAAAACCATCTAAAATCTACACATCATACCCCTGACCGGATAGGGCCCATAATCAACGCTTCTACCAGCGTTCCCTTTTCAATATATCCCTGTCCGGGTTTCAATACCAAGAGAGCATTCGCATGCGCAAGGTTCCCAACCCTCGAGCTCCGCTGTCCTGTAACACTAACCCCCGTGCTACAAGCATACAGCAGTCCATCAGCTTGGGATGCCCTGACAATGGCACAATGATATTCCGTGCGCTCGCGATTCAACGGCAACTGATGCATCAGAGTCACCGTCACCACAGGAAGTCCCGGTATTGGGCCGGACCCCGAGGAAAGCCTTCCCTGGCCCATCCCCATGAGCTTATGCAGACAGGGTAGCACAAACAAATGCAAGCTGACCAGAGCCGAGGCGGGGTTCCCGGGTAGCGAGAAGATGAGTTTCTTTCCCCATGTTTTCGGTGCATCGTTCGTTTGAGATGGTGACCGCTTGACGGGGATGCTGGCAAATGTGGTTGGCTTCCCGGGCTTCATGGCGACACGACCAAAATGCACCGTGCCGCCAAGGGAACGCTCGATGGTGGGCTTCAGGAGATCTAATTCTCCCATCGAGACACCGCCTGTCGTGATAATTACATCGATGCTGTTTTCTTCCTTATTGACCGCATTGCGTAGCCGCTCTTCGAGCTCACCTGCAGGGGTATCAGGGGCGATACCCAGATCAACGGTGGGAAAGCCCCAAGATGAGAGACATGAAAGTAGGGAAAGCCGATTAGAATCACGGATCTGGCCACCATGAAGTCTCTGGGGATCATCATGCGGGACTAACTCATCTCCTGTGCTCATAACGCCAATACAAGGCTTCTTATAAATCTTAACTGTGCTAGTGCCGGTTGCTGCCAGAAGGCCGATTTCACCTCCGACGGGTGTGATAATATCGCCCTTTCGAAGGATCCTTGAGCCCAATTCAATGTCACTTCCGGGTTGCCGTACGTTCTCGTTTGGCTTGATATCATCCGTTAGGATTTCCACCGTGGCCTCCTCGGTGCCATCTGGTGTGGAGGAATGCAGAACAGTGTCTTCAACCATAACCACCGCGTTTGCGTTGGGAGGCAGTGGTGCACCAGTAGTGATACGCGAGATGGTACCGCGTTCCAACGGGGGAGCGATGTCACTAGCATTTGCGTGCGCAACAGAGGCAACAGGAAAGATGCCCTTGGTACCTCTAGTAGTAGAAGTTGTACTATCTTCATTCAAGTTAGGAGCGATCACTGCATATCCATCAACAGTACTAGCCCGATAAGCCGGCACGGCCTCTCCAGCGTAGACATCCTCAGCAATCACGGATCCAACCAAGGCAGGTGTCACTGGGGCCTCAACGATGACTGGATCAGGAGTATGGTTACTGATACGCCAGAGAGCTTCGTCAACCGACAGCATCGGATATGGGGATAGGCGATTCCGTCGGCTTGGCCCCTCGCTCGTGTCATTTGATTTTGCGGTCTTATTTCCGTGATGCCGGCCGCAATCACTATGTCCCAGTTGCGGTTGGTGGTTATGGGAATGCTCGGTGCCGCTCCCTTGATTATTTTCCGCAGTGATGCCGGCTTCTGCTTCAAGTTTCTGCATGCCGCCAGCGTGTAGAAGTCGGGAGTTTGCCCCGGCCGCCTGTATGCACGCGTGAGGAAGAAGCTTTACAATGGCCTCAAGGTTCTCTTTCGCCCCCTTCGGCGACCCCGGGAGAGTGACTATCAGTGTACCATTCCGGACTCCTGCGACAGGCCGAGACATCATCGCGACTGCGCTTAAGATCAGTCTTATTTTCGGCAGAGTAAATGATTACGCTTGGTCTTACATGGCGTGACTTTCAACGATGAATCCAACATGCCATGCCTTGTTGCTGCGTGTCAGTGCCAGCCGTAAAAGACATCGGAGACCAAACATACACAAGTCCAGGGGCATGCCGATGCAGGAGAGGAGTTACCGCCTGTGTCTCACAGTATCAGAGCTGGGGCTATGCTAATATTGTCTGTGTTTCAACGAACCTCAGGCGTATTGTCTCGAGTAGTGAACCCTGTGCCACCACTGAGGAGCACTAGATTCACGGCATCTTGCCCGTCGGTCCAGTCACATATGCTCCTTTGTATATCGAGTATATTATCGGGGACTATGTTGGTGAATGGTGTTTTCCAGAGACTTTGGCCTGTGGCTAGTAATAGTGGTGTTAGAGCATCCACGACCCTATCAGTCGACGGATCCTCGGACGCAGTGTCTGATATGATCAGTATTGCGGGTTGTAATGCTGTGTTCGCCATGGTTAACCAGGTTGATCAACGGAAGCAGAGTATGTTAGACCCCTATACTGGCGCAGAATGAGTACGGGAAAGCAGTCACTCTATATTGACATGGCCAGGAGAGCATCTAAGACCTGACAGGCTACATATTGTTTGTCAGACCATAAGTCCTGCTCTATAATTACAAGACCCCTTGAGTGTGAGGCAGTGGAGAGCTCAACGCCCAAGATGCCCCACTACTCTCCGAATTCCTTCTCTCATCGTGCGTGCATTACAATGCCTCTATTTGTCTCACTCAAGGGAATCAGACGGGAGATCAACGGCAAGACACAAATGTAACCTCATCGACGTCCCATTTTCAACAACATAATCCGGATTAAAAACGACCTTTCACCGCGAAATCTCCGACACGTCGCTGAAAAACATGCAAAGCGACCATCTCCAAGGGCATTAGTCTGCCAACAATCTCTCGCATGAGGGTTGACATGCATCACGTTAGGTTTTCTGTAATTGGTCGATTAGTTGTTCCCAGAACAGCCTAGCGCGGGGTCACGCTGCCCCACCGGTTTAGTAGCTTCGAACCCTACTTTGCAGATACGATCAAGAACAATTGCCCCTCTTCAGCTTTGGCGCATAGATCCACTGCCTTGGGCGATTTATCTTACCGAGTCTTGGGTCTGTTTGTGATAGATAGGCGGCTTGCAATGGTCCAAAGAAGTGTAGTGTACTACCGGTTGTAAGATCATAAGCAGAGCAATTGAGGACTTTCGCACTTGAATATATATCTTCACCACGTTAGACAGCATTTCTTCAGGATGGACGTCTCAACAGCAACGAGTACACTGTCGTACCCGTCGATACCTTCCGAAACCGAAGACTCGACCCCCGCTCACCTTGACCGGTCTACATTTCCACGCACCGTCACCCTACCCGATGAGAAAATCCATATCGAATTGACATACGACCCCCTCAGTGCTGATACAGCATTATCCTACACCAGTTCCCCCGCAGCAGGCGCAAATGTGTTTTTCCTAGGGACCACGCGAAATACATTCGACGGGCGTGCCGTCGCTCAGCTCAGCTATACATCCTACCCACCACTGGCATTAAGGACCCTGACAGACATTGCGCGACAGAGCAAAGAGAAACACGGGCTCATCGCCGTGAGCATCTCCCATAGGCTGGGAACTGTGGCCGTTGGGGAGGCGTCGATTTTAATTGCGGTCAGCTCGGGGCATAGACGTGCGGCTTGGAGAGCCGCCGAGGAGATCCTGGATGAGTGCAAGGCCAAGGCCGAGATCTGGAAACGGGAGGAGTTCGTTGGTAGCAAACCGGAGGACGGAGAGTGGAGGGCAAATAAGGATTGGGATGGGGAGGGAAATCTAGTCTCACGTCGATAATGTCTATTGTTTACGGATGCGGGTGATTTAAGATTAGAGTACAAAACTCTGCAGTGTCAACTGATGCTGTCAAACTTGTCATATGAATAAACTCGGCTATAAGCAGATGGAATGTGGGTTTTTCCGCATTGTGTTAACACCTGGAAATGTAAGAATGCAATTGTAGACATCGAACTATCTTGAGAGTATAATACGAGCGAAGAAGTAGTAGTGCAGGTTGATCACATCAATTCAATCAATTGATCACGCCCAATGAGTGTGCGTTCGTGAATATGCAAAGATCCGATTCCCTGGTGGCAACTTGCCCTCGACGTCATTACGTATGACCAGGCTCAACGAGAACCCTGCATCTGGACCCTTGATAAGAGCAAGGCATACCCTGTGACTAGCCTATTTATTAGCTCTACCTTCCTACAAGGGCCAGTGCACCCGCGACTGCCACACAAACCATATCGTACCCGGCGTCGAGTCAATTCAGTAGTCAATGATGTTTGGTGTGATGCAGGGGTGAATTATTGGACAGTTAGACTTACCAGAAACAGCCAGGATGGGCATTTCAGCCAGTCAGATTGATTTAAGCTTTCCTTCGTGTTTTGACCCACGGTAAGTGGGATACTAGACCTCTCCTCCAAGCTCTGCATTGAGTTCAGCAAGTGCCCGGAACCCAGTCGGAGAGGCGCCGCCTGTTTCCTTCTCAGACACGCCAAGGCGTCTAGGCTTGGCAACAGTATTGGTTATGCACCAGATATAACGTCTAGAACTGCTACTGGTGTGCAAGGGTAAAATAGTCTTTGGCCATGTAGCTAGTGACATATTTCTCCACGGACGAGGTCGTGAAAATGTCCGTATAGGTGCGGGGTACTGATTCAGGTCTTCGTAGTAACTGTAGTGTCCGTCCTTGGGAGTAACCCTGCGAAGTATATAAATTACCTCAGATTTCCCATGACTTACGAACGAGTTAGTGATCAATTACTTCCAGGCGTGGCATTCTTCCTGCAAAATGTGGACTTCATCGCGAGACTACCTCATGCTGGCCATGCTGGCCATACCCCAGGCTCACTTAGTGTCCGCGGAGAGAGTGCTGGGTGTGTACATTTTCGCCCGCCACGGGGACCGCACCCCTAAAATACAGGGCAACACCCAGCTTACGGACCTGGGATATAGTGAGGTGTTCATGACTGGTAGCTACTACCACAACCGTTATATCGATTCAAACTCTTCCCTTCAGATTGAAGGTATCAGTGCGGATATCGTCAATCTAAAGCAGCTTAGTGCATCTGCACCATCTGATACTGTGCTGCAGAACTCGGCCACCGGCTTCCTGCAGGGTATTTACCCTCCAGTTGGCACAATTGCAAGCCAGGAATTGGCCAACGGGACTACGGTGGATGCTCCACTGAACGGGTACCAACTGGTCCCGCTCTCGCTCACCACCACCGGAACAAACAGCGAGGACAACACATGGCTCCAGGACACCACCAAGTGCCAGAAGGCCAAAGTCAGCAGCAACAGCTACTACAGCTCGACACTGTACAAGGATCTTCTGGCATCCACTCAAGACCTCTACACCTCCCTCACGCCCGTCCTGAAGGCCCAGTTCTCTGAGTCTGACATTAGCTTTAAAAACGCCTATTCCATTTGGGACTACCTCAATGTGGCGAGAATCCACAACTCCAGCACGGAGAACATGCCCACCGACGCTCAGTTCCACCAGCTGTTGACCCTGGCCAACATCGAGCAGTACAACCTGGCCTACAACTCGACAGAGACCGTCCGGGCCATTGCCGGTGCCCAGCTGGCCGGAGAGATGCTCGATGGGCTCCGCGAGACGATCAGCACACAGGGTAAGACCAAGCTGAACATCCAATTCGGCTCCTACGGCACCTTCCTCTCGTACTTTGGGCTTGCGCAGCTCCCCAAAGCCAACTCCGACTTCACCGGCATTCCCGACTACGCCTCTTCAATGGCATGGGAGCTGATCACCGACTCCACCAGCGGGTTCCCCGACCCAGCTGACATCTCCGTGCGCTTCATCTTCCACAACGGCACCATCACTGGCTCTGGCGAGCCGACTGAGTTCGCACTCTACGGCCAATCGAGCGCCACCATCTCCTGGACTGAATTCGAGAAGCAGACCAAGAGCATCGCAGTCATGTCTACGGAGGAGTGGTGCAGCGCGTGCGGCAACACGGATGGAAAATGTGCTACCTCGTCCTCTGACTCTGCCGGTGCTCAGTCGACTAGCAACCAAAGTAATGGAATCTCTAAAGCTGTTGCCGGTGTTATTGGTGCGATGGTCACCCTTGCGGTTATTTTGGGCTTGCAAGCGGCTTTCTTCTTGCTGGGTGGCTTTACAGTTGCCAAGAGGAGAAAGGCTACTGCGGGAAGTATCTCGTCTGATATCACGGAGGCGAAGTTCGTTGAGCATCGTTGATTATCATGGTCAACACAGATGGTTCGGTTGTGGGAGTTCTTAGTCTGTAGGGTGTTAAGTCATCGTTTATGAATATGGGCCAGCGATGTGCAGAAAAGGCTCTGGATGTATTTACGAGAGATATATGAGTGAACTGTTCTTGTACAATTGCCTGTTACATCATTCGTAGTCTGAATACTCCCAGTGCAATAGTATCTCCTAGACTGTCACTTCTCGGCTTCTTAGAGAGAGCCCTGTCTGGAAGTAGACTGTAGTTATAAACAGTAATTGTCTTACTTAATTGCCTATATAAATAGATATATCTAGAATCTAGCCAACATTAGGTTACAACCAGAGAGTAAGCTCCCAGATAACAATCTTTGATAAGTAGCAGTTTATTAAACTTGTCTATAAGGCAATTATACAAACCCTGTGATTTATCCAAAATAGTAATATCTCTGTCGAGTATCGGGAAGATCGATACTCCGAATATAATTATCTCGAGCGGTTGCTTACACATATACAGTTGTCTTATACCCTCTGCAGTAATTTCCTATCTAGATTGTACCGATATTGCTTCTTTAGCTAACTTATATATAAAGTTCTGAGGTTTACTAGTAGGATATATCAGATTCTATAAGAAGCACTGTATAGTATTAGGGATATTAAGTATTTTCTGCTGCTTGTGTAGTCTACCTTGTATTTCTTTTACATTGCTATTATTATTTCTCATTCGATATATCCTTTTTAAGGCGCTAGGGAGTTCATTAAAGAAAATAAGCCGAAGATTTATTCTTCAGTAATCAAAAGTTATTGGGGAAGAGACTTGACGCGTATATCTACCATGTCGCTCCAACTATTGCGGTGAAACAAGTTCGTCGCGACCGAACCCCGGAAGAAAAGCCAACGGAGCATCCTTTCCTCAAGGAGGTCGCGTTTTACAAACGTCTTAATGAGTGCCAGGCGCGATGCGCGAATATTGTTGAATGTTTTCTCATTCTCCCAGACCATCTTTTTCGATCATGCTGCACGCATAAGGCCATCGCCCCTCGTTTCTATGAACGCCAGGAGCGAGAGACAGGAACGAATGGCTTTCGTGGGCGTCTTATCAAGGTTAAGGAGTACGAAGAGTCTGCGCTTATCACTCGGTGGATACAACAAACCATGTCTGCTCTTGAATATGTCGAGAAGATGGGATTCTGTCATAACGATCTACATGCAGGCAACTGCCTTCTGGATAGAAACTTCAACTTGAAGCTGGGTGATTTTGGTCGTGCAACCACTACTGGACAATTACTCGAAGGTACCTTGCCTCCACGGGCCCAACTAATACGTGCTGGGCCATTGGAAGGCACATACGGTTTATGTTCCGCCAGAACGGAACAGTTTGCGGCTGGCACACTTGTATACTTCATGGTATACGGCCATGAACCCTACGACGACATTGTCCTAAGCGCCAAGGAATGGGATCGCCGATTTGGGGAAATGGATTTTCCCGAACTTAACCGCCATGAAGTATTTGATGGTCTCATTTCGGTTTGTTGGCACAATGTTTATCCTACGATGGCTTTGCTAGCGTACGACTTTGAGCGCAAAACAAAGCATATAGTCCGGAATACAGATCCCATCTCCATTGACTCTGCTAAGGAGACAAAGGCCTGCGAAGCATTGGTTCGCCGAGGCCTGCTGGGACCTGAGTTGGCTCTCCGCTTTCAGCCAGCCTGGCGGAGATGTCTTAAGTGCTATTGTGAAGAGAAGCATGTTTATTTGGCAATGCTTCCTACAAAGACTATCCTGGACCTGGCCTTCATGATTGGCTGGGGTTTGTGGCATATGGGTCGCGGAGATGCTGATAGCCCATCCCTACCATTAGCGAGTGACTTCGAATTTCGGGCGCGAATTTATGAAAGATACCTACCTTACCTCTAAGGAGCGGCTCTATCAACATAAGCTACCAGGCCGGCTAACACGATCTCATCGAAGTATCTTCACTCATGGTGATGTGAAATCTCGCAATGTCATGGTGGATGATCAAATTACTCTCACCACCTTTATGGGAATTTCTAAGGTTAGATAGGCCTAACATTAACGTCATTAATGTCTGAATGCCGACATCGAATTGAAGGATGAACAGTCTGTCCAGACTCCCGCTCAGCTGCCGTGAATCATATCTAAGGGATGGATATTTCAATCAGTATATATATACGTTTACCTTTTCTATACCCCGGGACCGATTACTGAGTAAAAGCAGGCCCTGAGCGAGTCCTATTTTAGGAAGCAAAGTCACCAATTTCTACACAAGAAGTATTCATAAGTTATGAAGTCGATTAAGTTAAGCATGGTAGGTTATTCTCTACTATAGTCCAGACGTTCTTGTGGTCCCGTGGTGAGCATATCACTATACAGATATTACCAAAACAGATAGTGTGCAAATTCGACAAACTGTATATTTCTGGGTACAAAATAATAATCTGATATTTCTCAATTTAGCATATACTTGCTAGCTATACCATAACGCGCAGTATTATCCGTCCCCACCACTCTTCATCGTAAAAGTCATAAGCGAAAGCTGCCAAAACAATTTCCAATTTTGGATGCAGCGTACTAAACCGCTTCATTATCCGCATCTCTGGGGTACTTCTTGAAGAAGTCCTTGTATTCATCCCAGGTCTGGGTCGGGAGCTCTTCGGGCCATGTGATAGGGGCGATAGGCTGGCCATGAGCCTTGAACATCTCGATACGCTCCGCAGTCAAGGGCCGGCTCTTGTTGATGCTGTAGACGGAGATTCTGTGCGCGGAACTAGTGACATGCAGACCCCAGTTCCATGCGGCACGGACAGCCAGGGGCTGCGTGTTCAGAGCGTTATCCCAGCAACGGCACACAATTTCGATCCATCCCTCCACGTCGCAGGGTAGGTCGATCTCCCAGGTACGCCAGGTCCACTGGCCTTTCTTGGACATGTTCTCGAGCGGCACGGCGTACCAGCTGAAACCGCCATCGGATGAGAGCTCCACGCGCTCAGGCCATCGGCCACCACCGGAATAGGCCCAGCCCTTGCAGCGGATCTTGCCGTTGTGGATCACGACTTGGTTCTTCCACGGGGACATGATGGCAGAGCTGACGGGCATCTCCTGGATCTGGATACCATCCGTGGGGCGCTGGTTGTGCTTGCCAACCTGCTGGTTGAAGTAGAGGTATTCCTTGCTCTGAACCGGCGCCAGACTGGGGGTCTCAATGGCCTTGATCCGGTACAGCCACTTGACACTACGAGCTCCAATGTACCCCATCACCATCACTCTCAGAGGGTAGCCGTGGATCTTAGGCAGAGGCTCGCCGTTCATCTCCCAGGCAAGCATCACTTCGTTGGCCTTGACCTTGGACCAGGGCACACTGACCAGGTAATTCATCACTTCGTCGTTCTTGAAGTAGGTTTCGGCACCATACAATTCAAGGTGCTTGCCGCCCTCAAGAAGGCCGCCACAGTCTTTAATGACCTTCTTCAAGCTGATACCGACGTATTCGGCGGTTCCGATGGCACCTTCAGCCCAAGGGGCCTGAGGGACCTCGTCACCCTGACCCGCGTAGAGGCTGATCTGCTCGATACGACGGGTTCCGGAACACTGCATGGTAATCATCTTCTTCATGCGAGGGAACTTCGATTCATCCATCAAATCATCCAGAGTATATGTCTTCGGGTTCTTGACAAGACCATCCAGCCTCAGGAAGAACTTGTCCTTGTCGATCAATGGAATACCGCCGTGATTCCGGACGAAGTGAAGCGAGTTAGGCGTCACTGGCTGGGCAGTGGTGAGTCTCTTGGGAGGCTCGCCGTTGTAAGGGAATTGCAGCAGATGGAGCATCTCGGGGTGCTTCTCCTTCAGGACGGTGTTCCATGAGTCTTCGGGTACGTCCGTCAGCTCACCACCAATGGCATGATGCCACTGTTTCCAGTGCGTTCCGGGCAGCACGGGGTTGGAGTCGGGGATAGGGCCCATCTGGAACTCCGGGTTGGGCGGGAAGGCCTGGGAGGTGAGGATCTTGTGGGCGGCCTTCTTCCTCTCGGGGTATTCCTCCCACTCGACATATCTGAGAAACCATTAGTATCTTATTCACACATACACAATTCACAGAGTCAGCATTACCCTTTCCATCCCTCGAGCTCGCGAGGAAACAACTTGTTAGGATCGCCAACCGCCTTGATGGCTGCCTCGTCCTTGGTCATCTTACCATCCCATACCTTGGGGTGGATGTAGACGGTCTCGGAGCCCGTTTGGTCCAGGAACGGCAGCTTGGCGGCATTGATACCCTGCTCGATCTTCCACTCATCGGGACGGTTCTTCACGTTCTTGGGCAGGTCATTCGTGGACTTGGAGGCGGGTTGGTCCTGCATTTTGCCGGTGGACTTGCCCTTCTGTTGATGGGCGTCGTGCGAGAGTCTGTGTTCAAGGTGCTCGACCTTGCGCTCGACCTTGCGTTCGATTTTCTTCAAGTGGGACATGGCTTATATTTTGCTGTGGGACAGTGCTAACCGACCTGGACCCAGCAACGCAATCTACTCTTATATACTACGCAACGTCAGGCCGTGAGTTGGAGCGGGGCAAGTCGGCCTTCCGCAAGTGGAAATAGTAATACACCAATCATGTAGCTGTGGGAACAAGGTTCCGGAAACAGTCCAGAACGTCCCAGTCTAGGGCTGAACTCTCTTCGCACTCGACGACGTCTTCCCAACGACTCCGATCTCTCTGGGTCAGAGAAATTTCCGATCCGGTGGAGATGGCGTGGCTACCAATGACGGAGATGGCGAGGATCATCATCATCACCTCATACTGCCGTGTGGTGGGGCACGCTATGATGAGGGGGATGAAGCGAGGGATGACACTGGAATGTGCAGAGACAGTCGACAGCCTCCCCGGTGAATCTAGGGCAAGGGTGGCTGGTTGATGCATCTTCGTTAGAGAACTCCTTTCTGCTGAATTCAGCCGTCAGGATGCATTGATGACAAGCTGTCCGTCATTGAGTTCGAGTGATGTATCCTAGAAGCGATACTTCTTCCATTCCACGGTACTCATGCGGGATGCCCACCCCCAGGGCTTGGCCCTAGGGCCCTTCCCTCCATGGACCCCTACATACCGCAGCGCAATGCCAGACACCGTCAAGCTGGTATCAATTCCCAATTGGAAACCTCGGCGAGTGGTTCCGATAAGCTTGGCCTCCCTGATCGCTGCAATTGGACGGTAGGAACCCACAACGGTGGAGGTGAAGCGAAACAGCTATTCCCCGATAAGCAGTTCACAAACAAATTGTCTGCGTGCACGGTCCTCTATTATGATGCAGCTCATCGCAACCGGGAAATCGTCGGTCGTGTTCGAAGTTTAGGAATTGCGCCACCTCATGATGGGGGTTTAACTTGCTGAACCTACAAGCGGCGAAGATGATCTGTCAAGTGGTGGTTCTGCGCCGAGAATGAACCAAGTCTGTCGGATTGCAAAGGAAGGGCGTTGATTGGTGGATAGGTCTTTGGTACGTTAGTTACCTGGGATAGCTTTTCCACTCTGGAGTGTCTTGGTTAGATAAATCCTGTTGGAGAGAGTATAATCGTAGTGTGCGAGAAAGTGTAGTTCGATCGATCGGTGGTGCAAAACGCCATGAATTGGGCAGTCGGATTCCAGCGTTTACGAGGGGTAAAAACGCCGAGACAGTGCTAGTTTTATTATGCAATCACTAAGAAATGATTAGCACATCAGCTGCATTATGCAGAGCCCGACGTGGCATCATATCCTCTCTGCAAATTCCCCTCCTCGACCACCACTTGCACCACGTGCATGGATATTATTCGCAGCGAAACGGTCAATCGGAGGCACTTGAACTGTCGGCTCGCAGCGATCGGCTTCGTGCCAATGGTGACCTCATAGTGGGCCTTCCTGGGAAATGAAAAGTAACTTGGTGGTCGTGATAAGGGTCTGGCCAGTCAATCGCAGCCGATGTAACCCTAATTCCCGATAGCGATGAAGACGACGGTCGGCACGAAAGCCAAGCCCAGTGTGCAACGCATCCCAACGTCAATAGTCTATGTCAATGAGTCGATGGCTTGAGAAATAACGTTTAGCACCATGGAGTCCACTGCTCAATGCCATTGTCAAGTGCACATGATGTGTGGGCCTCGTTGTTATTTCAAGTCTTGTAGAATCAGGTATCACGCGGCAATCTACAATTAACTTCGCAAAGGGGTTGTTGGCCTAAGCTTCTTCAGGTAAGAGTACCACTGCAATACTACTCTACTGTGCCGCCGCCTCTGGGCAGACTTCTTGTCTCAAGGTCCAGGAAAGGTACTAGTACATTTACCATTACGTTAGGAATTGTGAGTTTTCTCTGGAAGAACGCTGGTCAATCATTAAATTCCATCTGTAGTCATAACCCTGCAGTATACTTACTTGATGAATTAACAATAGCATGAAGTACATCGCTTTCTATGACTTGGCTTGGTGGATTAGAAGTAATATATTTGAATAACACTCGACCCAATTTTAATTACCACTATGGCCGTGCTGTATTCAACAATATGTTTTCGACGGACTAGGGTACACCATACCACACTAAGCTCGCATTGCGAGATTTCATTGCGTATACCTTGTTATCTTCCATAGACTACCCTGATACGCAAATATATCGCATATTCCTAGCCAATTAAAACGCTAACAATAGCGACTAGTTCATGCTTGCACCGGAGCTATGTTCAAAGCAGAAATACTGTACATATAGCTTTCACCCAGTCAGGTCTAGAGTAGACTCAGTCTATGAACTGGAGTTCCCGGCTCGCTCAGCTGTTGTTTCATAGATCATGTTGTAAGATGTTAGAAGAATATTCGCAACAGATCTCAGTCCTTTCTCGTTGGACCTTACTCTTGTTGTCAGCAATGCAGCAAGTACACATCGTCCCGGTCTCTGACTGTGCATGGGTGGTCCTGAACTATCACCATGTCTTTCATTTGGCTAGATGACGCTTTGTACACCTTAAACATGCAATGTGACTGGATGTTCATCTGTTAGTTGGAATAAAACAATGTTTCACTGACTATGTACACCTCGTTCAGTGGTAACAGTGACTGCGCTGATTCTCATTAGATTTCGAAGTCTACTTCATTTCTTTGCCGTGACGGTGTATGACGGCAAAAGTAGTCACTTTGATTACAACACCCTATCATCTGAAATCATCATACTCGATACTCCCTAGCATGTAGTATTGCAGGTGGATATAGTTACAACCGCCAGGACCTGCCGATCAGTACTGGATTCCTGCAGGTACCCTGTTAAGTGCCGACGCTACGGTATACTTGAAGAGAGTCCCACGTAATCGATAAGCGCTAGGCACCGTATGATCTTGAAGAATCTAATCTATTTGTATTAAATTGTATTATCGCATATCCTGCAGTATATCGTTAGACCAGGGACAAGTAGTATTTTCGGTCGAACGGAGTACCGATACCAGGTACATTGGCCCTTGTTCTGAAGAGCAACGTTAATATATGTCTAGACTAGATGTGATATCCATCGCAGGGCAATGTCGATCAGGGCCTCTTGGTTCCGACCAGAGCGGGGTAACTGTGACAGTAACACTTGTCCACTTCATAGGTAGATATTGAACACAAGTCCTAGTACGGATAGTTTTATGGCAAGCGGATAGTTGTCCATGATCTACAAGACTACAATGTTGGTGTCCGTACTGGGGTCTCATGACTAGTCCCGGAGCACAAAGGCCACGTCTTAACCCCGATAAAGCAACTTGTATTTGAGATAGGGTCGTAAAGGGGTCTCGCGATCATGTCTTTTGTGGCCAGATGAAATTGAACAGGCGGTACTAAATGATGAAGAACAAAGAATGGGACCACAGGCGACCAGTCATAATGTAGGGATGTCTGCAAACCCCTGGACGAAGCTTGGCGCCGACAGCCATGTATAAACATGCCTACCGATTACTTAAGGTTATTTAAATGAAGTACGAATAAGAGTCAAAAGAGCACTGTACTCTGAGACAAGGGCCGGAGGCGGTCGTGTCTTAGATCCCTCGCATTCCAGAGCGTGGAGGGGAAATGAGATCGAAGCCATGGGTGCCACGCAACGATTGGAACCTGCAGCGGTGGCTGATCGGAAGGGATTCTGATTGCATGATCCTCGCACAAAGCCACAGGGCTGACAAATGAATTTGTTCAGGCTGTGGAGGAGGGAATATCGCACGTGGAAGGTGCATGAGACAGAAGAACCAGCAGCGCGACGGCCACAAGGGATGAAACAGTTTCATTGTAGTTTAACTCCCAGATGGCAGACGTTCCTGAGCCCCTTTCCATACCGTTATGACACATCATTGGCAGGATTTATCTCCCTTGTCCAGCCGCGGGGTAGAAAGAATGTGCCATGCAAGTCTAGACGGGCCGTCATTAGGCCCTGGAGCGAGTAGCGGGTTTGCTTCATTTCCCATGCCGGCATGTGGTTACCCGGCAGTGTTGCATTAATTTACCCGCTCTCGAATGGCCGTTCTTCCATGTAGCCTTCTTGTGAAACCCTTCTTATCCGACACACAATATCATGCAGGGGCACTGGGTATTATATCGTGGACTTTAGACAAGGTTCTCCCGATCATACCGCCGGAAGAGGTGATCAGATCACCTGCATGACACTCGCTTAGGGCTACTCACCTGATGGATAAGAATGCTTAGCCGCGACAACATGGCAACCCCCAGCGACTTGAATCCCGATGGTTTATCTGATTTTCGAATGCAACGCCGTTTGTCATGCCTTGCACATACACTAGCCAAGCAACCTTGTACACCATCGCTGACGCTTCGCAGGGCACACGAGAGCGGCGCCGCCCTGTAATTCCGTTTGAAACGTATCGCGTGCAAACCACCATCGTCGTCGACCTGGCCTGTCGAGTGTGCGTATCTCAGAACGATGCGAAGGTTACATTCTTCGGAAATTCATTGTCGTCTCACGGATGCAGCGGACTATTGAGATCGAAGAATGAAGCCAAGGAATGTATGTACAACTCAAGAAGGCCGGTCCTGAACACCCATGACAAACGCAGATGACACCCAATGTGCGCATTTAATAATACACTGACCCGTTTGCACACCAAGAACCTTTGTCAAAATCTGTATAATAAGGCCCAACACTCCCGGGTATTGAGTGGTACTCAACCTGAGCTCCAAGTCATTCAAGCCAGTTCGACATTACGTTTCATGATACCCCACCATGCCTTCTTCAAAGACTGTTGCTCTTTTCACACTTGGTCTGGCTTCTGTCAAAGGCGCGCTGGCCGCGTTGAACCTGAACAGCCCAAATAACATTGCCGTGTACTGGGGTAAGTATACGTGGCAAGCACGGAAGCTGTGGAACAACTAACATGATCTCTCAGGTCAGAATTCATATGGACAGGCCACCGGTCCATACGTTCAGCAGCGTCTGTCATATTATTGCAGGAGTAAGCCTGACTCCGCACCACGTAAAGCAGCAGTCGCTAACAGTTCTACCCACTTTGTGTACAGCAACGGACGCAGATGTACAGATCAAATAGACCTTGACCCTGTTGAGGATTTACTAACAGGACTAATAGGTATACCAACTCTCCTTCGTCACTAGGATCAACGGAGTTGGTGGTGTTCCTGAAGTCAATTTCGCAAATGCCGGCGACAACTGCACCGCGTTTCCAGGAACTCAGCTTCTAGACTGTCCACAGATTGCGTAGGTACGCACCAAACTATACTTAGTAGACAAGCTAACCAGAGCCTATGATCAGTGAGGACATCAAAGAATGCCAATCACTTGGACGGACAATCCTCCTTTCAATCGGAGGAGCCACCTACAACGAAGGCGGCTTTTCCAGCGAAGCAGCCGCAGTCGCCGGTGCCAAGATGATTTGGGAGACATTTGGACCGGTTTCCAATTCCTCTGCGAAACGACCCTTCGGAGATGCGGTGGTCGACGGGTTCGACTTCGACTTCGAGGCCGTTGTCAACAACATGCCGGCCTTTGGGAACCAGTTGCGGTCGTATTACGCCAGCGATACTTCAAAGAAATACTACACCACCGCTGCACCCCAGTGTCCCTACCCAGACGCTGCGGACGGCCCTATGCTCAATGGCGCTGTGTACTTCGACGCGATATGGATTCAGTTCTACAACAACTTCTGCGGACTTCAATCGTTTGTCCCCGGCAGCTCCACACAGAATAACTTCAACTTCGATGTTTGGGACAAATGGGCTCGTGAAACCTCTTTGAATAAAAACGCCAAAGTCTTTCTCGGTGTTCCTGGGAACCAAGGTGCGGCTGGCACCGGGTACCAGCCGATATCGAGGGTTAGCGAGATCATTCAGTATGTGAAAAACTTCAGCAGTTTTGGAGGCGCCATGATCTGGGATTCGAGTCAGGTGTACGCCAACAGCGGCTTTCTTTCAGGGCTCAGGTCCGCTTTGGGAGGTAGCAGCGCTGCTCCAACTACGACGACGAGCCCGACCACGACATCGACAACGACCTCACCTACCCCGACGACGACCACGACCCCATCTACAAGTACCACGCTGATCACCACCACGAAGTCCACCACAACCAGTCCAACGTCGGGCACGCCAACCGCTACACCCACCTCGACGGTGTGTCCGGTTGCTGGGCAGACATGCCCGACTAGCGGGTCGTTTTCTTGCAATGGCAGCCAATTTGGTATTTGCGACAATGGGCGCTGGGCGATGCAGCAATGTCCTGCTGGCCTTGTTTGTGCCCAGAGTGGTTCGGGTGTTTATTGTGACTTCCCTGGTTCGGCGGGTGTCGCACCTTGTTCTTGAGGTGCTATGCTGTGTGTGTGTACATCTTCTTTTCTGGAGCCTCGCAGTACATTTTCGTAGCAATTTCTGGAAATATTGAATGTCTTATATGAGGTAGCATTATGAACCACTCCTGTAAACTCAAATAGTCTCGGCCGTTGTGGCGTGACATTTATGATACGACGGTCTGTAGTTAATCCAAACTAGTACAGGTACTTTTATCCTCGAGGTATTTGTATATTCTTTCTAGCAGGGCGCTTCTCCCTGATGAATATAGGATTCCTACACTTAATAACTTCCATTTCTTTCTTCTTCGAACTTTACTTTTCTAATCTTTGTACCTAATTAGCTGTTGTTCACTTTCTTAGCGTCCCCTAGGCGACTTCATCCTGCCAGTAATTATAATAAAGGATACTGGTTACAGTCCAGTACTTAAGAAGCCGGGTATTTCCTGTCTCAGTACCAGAACTCCCGAGCGGTAGTTGGCTGATATTGACTCTCGATTACTTGAACACCTATATTCTTGGTGTTGCACTGTACTAGATACATCCACTGAAGCCGCCGAAGCAAGATTGAAGCAGAGCTGCAGAGCTTTCGGTGCGATAAACAGGGGTACTGGAAGGGTACAAACAATAACCCAAAACAGAGTGACATGTACTCCGCGAGTGTTTCTCAACTCGGGATTCGAGTTGCTTGACCCGTCCATTGAGCTTGACGAGGAGACGCTGCCCACATACCAGCCTGAGAAATACTACCCAGTCAACCAGGGCGAGATCCTCAATGACCGGTATCAAACTCTGGCCAAGATAGGGTACGGAGTAACCTCAACAGTTTGGCTTGCGAAAGACCTTGTGTAGGTGCAGATACCTCGCTTCACGCGATCCAGGACATAGTAATTCTAATATCATGGTAAAACAAAATAGCACACCAACCTATGTTGCTTTGAAAATTTACTTGACGGGCCAAAGTACAGACCACGAGCGAGAACTGGACATCTACAAGCACATGAATTTGGAGGAGTCAAAGCATCCAGGCAGAAACTTCATTCGCAAACTACTCGACCATTTCTATATTCAAGGCTCATATGGCTCTCACGTCTGCCTGGTTCACGACCCTCTCGGAACGAGCGCAGATCTTCTGGTGAAGATGTCTCCTGGGCAGGCAATGACCCTTGATACTATGAAGCCAGGTATCCGACAGCTACTTATTGCCTTAGATTTCCTGCATTCGCAGTGTCATATCATCCATACTGGTAATATACTCAAGTTCCCCGAGGAACTTATCTAATAGGCTTAACTCTGTCGCAGATCTTCAGCTGAAGAATTTACTTCTCCCCGAGACAGAGACAAGCTACTTTTCTCGGTTTAAAGAAGCTGAAGTCCGAGACCCATCGCCGAGAAAGGTGCTCAAAGATCGAACGATCTATAAGTCTTTGGGCTTCTTTCCCAGAGGTGGGCTGCCAATTCTCACTGATTTTGGCGAAGCTCGACTGGGCGACAAAGAGCACTCTGACGATATCATGCCGAATATGTACAGAGCCCCCGAAGTAATTTTGAGATCGAACTAGGGTCACCCGGTGGATATCTAGAGTATTGCCATGGTGGTGCGTAGGATTATTCACCCTTTGGCGTGACTAGAAAATGCTAATCTTCGGACCTCTGAAGGCCTGGGACATTGTTAGCCCCCGCACCCTCATCAATGGCAAGAACTCAGATGGCATATTTGATGATCGCGTCCATATGGCAGAGCTGGTTGCCCTGCTCGGCCCTCCACCACCAGAATTTCGGGAACAGAGACCCCTGAGTTCAGTCTTCTGGGATGAGTCGGGCAATTGGAAGGATGTCGCTCCGATTCCAAAAATTACTCTCGAGAGCCTCGCCGAGAAGGTTGAAGGGGAAGACAAGGAAGGGTTTTTGCGGTGGCTCCGCATGGCGTTGCAGTGGAACCCCAGAGACCGGCCGACGGCGTTGGAACTCTTATATGACGAGTGGCTTATGAAGGGGCTATAGTAACGGCACGAAGGGAGACTATCATCCACAATTCTCTATCTCTCTGACCTTGAGTCAGTCTAGTACCTCAGTCTCCACTTCAGGGGATTCCTAGCCGGCCCTCCCAAGATTTCGATCAACCATCCTGGATATATTGCGCCTGGGCGTTCTTAACTGTGCAAATGGCTCTTGCTTGGACCTTTTACATTGCGAGAGTCAAGCGCGATAAGGGTAAAATATGCTTCATACATAGTACAGGTTAAGCCGGGGGCAGTAAGAATAATGTCAGCTACCTAGGGCGGTAGGCTCGATGTACATACTTACTACCACGATGGCCACATCTCATGTCTTTTTTTTTATCTCTAGAGCATACCCGCGATGTATCTGCCAAGGCAGCCCCGTCTATCTCCCTCAGGTGAGGTAAAAGAAGGTGAATGATGGGAGAGAAAGCGGAAAAAGTGAAGTCAGGAGGGCAACACAAAGTGAATTACCACGTGAATCAAGATTAAAACTGCGGTTTCGATTACTTTCACTTCTCTCTCCTTCCTGAACCCACCCTAGATCTCTTTCCTCCTTTCTACCATCCACCCTCACTACTAGCACCTATCCTCTACCATCTCCTCTATCTGATCTCTCATTATCCCATCTGTTCAAGATCAAAGAGCACCCAGGCTCAACACGCAGTCATCGAGCCCCCTGCCTTGGAACCTGTCTATCCTCTCCATAGATCATTCGTGGTCACCTATAAGGCAAGTCGAGCTATCAGAAGTCTAATTTATTCTTTTTGGATTATACGGGTTGGCTAATTCACTCAAGTATCTCCTGGCCGATAAGGATTGGGACAAACCAGCTTTCAACAACTTTCTGACCGTCGCTCACGCATTTATCTGACGTGAAGATGCTGAGAATGAGGCCCGTCTAGATGTCTCCGCAGAATACGTAATAAAGAACGGAGACAACAGCTCGGGCTTGGGTCAGAAAGAAACAACTGTAAGTGTTCTACATCTATCTTACAGCTAATTATAGTAACCTTTATTTATTACAGTTTTCTAGGTCTGATGTGCAAGACTATACCAAGGACCACGCAGAATCATTCTTGGGTGAAGTCAAGTTCTACCTCACAGTGCTTTCAGACAAAGCTGGTGCTGCACCACACCAGACTTCAACGTGAAGTACACTATCCGGGTATGTTATATAGTTTTACATAAAGCTCGCCGTTGTACTATTCTTTCTCAAGACGTCTCTTGGCTATTCTACTTCCATTAATTCGGTTGAAAACGCGATTTGTCAGCTAACTAACTAAGACCTGGCCTTTGAACGCATTGATACGGCCAAGTCAAAGGGAGTCAAGCAAACACACGTGCCTGACAGTAATCTGGCCCAGGAAACCTCAGTAAGAAGGCGATCGTTCAGTGATTCCATGAAATATTGAGACAGCTGGCTAACCATTGGTAGACTCATACGCCTCCTGAGCATCCCACCTCTCCTGTCCATCTCCAGCCATCCTCCGCCACTACCCCATCGGCTGCAGAGCCTGCCACGCGAAGTTCGGCCTCTGTGTGCCTGCTAAGTTATACAATACGGGCTTTGTGGCTGAGTATGCCACACGATGTCCTCCCCACAACGAGTATGATGTCTTCAAACAGCTTTACGGAGTTCTTCCTTCTCTTGCTGGGATAATCAGCAAGTCGCAAACCCCAATATATGGCCTATGTGCTATCATCTTCTTTGTTTCTCATCTTTGTTATTCTATTTCCTGTGATTGGACGGCTGATGTACTGTATGCTAAGAGTATACGCCGACCATTCTTGTACTGGAGAAACATGGGACAAAATTGTCTCGACGAGATTGAAAACAACATGAATATTTAAGGAGCAATTCGACGCATTTATATGCTCGTTAAAAGGGTCTAGCTACGCTTCTGGTTATTTTACTTCGGACTCACCACACCTCGAAGAGCTTCGTCTTACATATTGACATTTTTGGGATGTTGTGCGCATAGATGTGTCGTGGCAAGAGGCAACGGGTTTGGAACCAAGTGTGGCAAAGGGAAGCTTTGTACTTACACATCATCTGGAGAGTGAGGAAACTAAAATCCTGGCAAAAGCACACGTTTGCCGTCCTAATCTACGATAGTAAAGTAGTGTTATTCATTCGTCATATGAAGCCAGCTGTCAATTGATATGACTTTCCATGTGATGAACATGGACCTATTGTATCATCGTAGATGGCAGAAGGTAAAGCTCCTACAAGAGTCCTTGTTTGGGGGTGAAGTTTAACTTCAGGATGACTTTATCCCATTTTGCTGTCGTTACAGCGAATTTCAAGGCGTCTTCAGAGGTTTCGCTAGCAGATTACTTGGAATTGCTGTAGGAGCGTACAGCGTGGCGATAGCGTAGGGAAAGTAGATCTCCATGATTTGGTTGCTTATTTTTGACAGACCGTCGGTGTGGAAGTGGTAAGTATGAGTAGTAGAATACATTCTTTCCCCTTAGAGAAGTTGGATATTTCTGCGCATGTCCTTGAGAGCGATTTCGAGTCTTTCGCTGAGAGTATCAGTGTTGGTAGACCTCAGTCTCCCAAGGGGAGTTGGTCACATCAAGCCGTTGCCTATCTCTTTGTCGCCCCATAGGGAACAGCAGCGTGTCAGATAAAATAAATCTACTGGGAATAATTATCGTGCCCTTCCGGGTAAACCATAGGCACGAGGACTTGGCAGAGTACGATAATCGATGATGGAGAGATATACTACACTAGGTGACCTGCCGATTCAACCTTGACCCAAATGGCGGAATATGGAACGTCGACAGAATGAAGTCATGCTGAATGTTCTGTTTCAATCGCTGTGAGATCGGTATATATAGCTTGAGCCGAGTCGACCTGTCGATGCCAACATTGCAGAATAATAGTTCCACAAACCAAGGAAGACACATCAGGAAATTGATGAGCCTCAAAGAGTTTCTCAACCTCATCGCTAATGACATCTTCATATGGATAGGAGCCGGTCATAATAAGATAGATTAAAGACCCTAGACTGAATATATCATCCCCAAATAGCGGGGGAGAATCCCAGTCATAACCAGGGTGTCGAAACCGTGTTGCCGAGGTGGCCGATGGTTCCGTACCACACAGAGAAGCACCACCAAAATCAGCAATCTTGATATTAAGATGTGAGTCGAGAAGGATGTTCCTTGGTGAGAGATCGCAGTGTGCAACTTGAAAGCTATGAAGCAGAATTAGCGCTTTGGTGGCCTGTATACTCCATCGGAGTTGATGTTGAAGTGTTATATCATGATGATTCTTTCGGATTTATCCCTTGAGACTTCCATTCTCCAGGTACTCCATCGTCAGACAGCAATTTTCTGCGTCCCAGTGAATTAACTTAGGCACATGTAGGTGTTCCCCAATTGTCGTATAAACCTTTGCCTCAAGACGCATATTTCGGCGGTGATCCTCCTCTTCCGCTTTACAAAATGGATTTGGAATTGGCGTTTGCATGACAGCATTGGACGATAAGCGTTGAATGATACCAGTCCCCCCCCCCAAGGCCAGAATTTTGCCCTTGGTGACATATAACTCCTCCGAGGTGTGTGTAGGGCCATGGCTTGATCAGGGACGCATATGTATGTTACATCATGAGGATATTGCTTTTGGGTAGGACTTCTTTCTAGTGCTAATGGTGTAACTGTGCCCTACAAATGGTGAGATATTTGACCATTTTGAGTTATGCGGGACTAACTGTTTCTGTTCTGGGTCTAACAGCATGACCGGAGTGCCCAATATCGTCCCTGCAAGTTTGTTGGTGTGCGGAGCTCACACTGGCGCAACGAGGCTGGTAAGTATCGGGGAAACGAGAAAGTAGAATGTGGACCATAATGGTTGAAGAAAAGGGCCTAATGAAAACATGACTAAACCGTCAGTCTTCCTGTAGGACATAATGGAGACGAGTGATAGCAGGAATAGCCATGAAAGCAGTATTGTTGAATTCAGCCTGGGGTCTCTTTCGATCTTAAAGATTAATTGTAGATGATGGGTTACAACCAAGTCACAGTGAGAAGGCGTCCAGTCATGTGATTTCAAAAGGTGTCAATTACAACCACTAGTATTACTATTCAGCAGAATACTACAAGGTGGTGGCGGGCGTTGGGCGGTGACAGACGTTAGCGGTACCTAAGCTCTACTTAATACTATGGATAAGTGTGAATCAGCCCACTTGCCCCTCCGTAAACCTCCATCTTGACCATTTCTGTTGCGCTCTCTACAAACCAAATGTCGGCAGCACACTGGGTTACTCCATACAACCTGGCTAGAAACCTCGACGTTGATCGTTGTGCTGCGCTGCATAATAAAATCTACCGGATAGGACGGAATGGCATGGGACAAAACTGTAGCCCAACACCAGGAGTAACATGGTGGGAGCACCATACGCCAACAGAGGAAGTCATAAAACACCTGAACCCAGATCTGGTTGCTTTCCTGAAACTAGCCTACATATTTCGAACAGATACGCGCGATAATATCTCATTCTTTTACTGGCTTGACGACCTGGCTCACCCACGTTTGCTGTTCACGACATGGGTTGAAGTCAACTACCCTCATCGGTTCGTCTGGCTGTACCAGCATAGCAGTTACAGCTCTGGAGATGAGGTGGGGATTGTGTAGGATCCATCATGTCCTGTTGAAAGCCAACTGTAGCTGACTAATGATAGATACGATCAAGAACGATCATTAGCAGCATTCATAGGCCACACCGATGATTTATACGGGATGTGTACATACGGATGGGGATTTAAGCCTTTAGAGATCATCCTTTCCGCCTATCTCGATATGATACGGGAAGGGAAGGTATCCACAACTGACCGTATCGCGCAAACCTGGGAAGGGCCACCAGACCCTATATCCCCATGGATTATGCGACCATACACCCAAGCAGATGTCGAAAAGGCCGTATCCGCAATGCAGGGGCTTGTGGCAGCCATAAAATCCAGATTACCTATCCACCCCTCGCTCTCGTCGAACACATGGTCTGACTTCGAGGCGGCTGCGGCCCATATCCCTTCTAATACATTCATTTTCGAGTTTTTGAAAGGAATCTCAACCGTGCAAATTCCCTTCCATTATCTTGCGCCTGGAATCCGGTTGCCCAGCCCTGCTGAATTTGGTAAACAACCGTTCCTCCCTTCCAACTTGTCAAAGGACCAGGACTACCCTCTCGAATCCCCGTTACTATTATTTTACACGGATGGAGCCCAAACCACAAAGCGCGGTATTCCTCTTCTCCCAGAATCACCAATGATTCCAACTACCCCAGCAGGATTGTATATGTCATCGATTCAGTATCCCTCTAATCGCGAGTTTTCTAATGGCTGCTACCTACTTCTGCCTTTTAATATTGGCCAGTATGGCTGGGCATGCACAAGCGACAACCAGCAGATGGGCGTGGATGCGTGTGATACTGTACCGAAACCGAAAGGTATGCATGATGATCTTTACCAGTCTGGATATAATGGCTTCGTGGATCTGCGGCATGTACAACTACACAAGGTACTACAGAATTGGGCATCAAACGTTGAAAACTGTCACTGGGAGGTTGGTGAGGATGGTGTAGTCGGTGGAATCGAAAGGTTCCAGGACGCCGATACTGAGGATCACTGGGAGAAGTACTGGGTACCACCGAGCTGGTAAAGGTTGATAATAATTGTCTTGTTGGTAGTAGTAAGAAAATGGGGACAATATATGGAGAAATACTATTTGCGGTAGCTCATAGTCGGAACTTATATTTGATATAAAACCGAATAAAAAGGCGTAGATTAAGTAAACGATAGTAGATAACGCTATCCAGCACTTACAATATTTGCCACTTTACCCATGACGGTATTCTGCTTTAAGTACAGGCACCGGAATAACAGTGGCCTTTGCCGCAATATTCCTCTGTGTTGCCACAGTATCCTGAAACTGAGCAACATTTTCCGAACTGTGTCCCTGTACATGTCTTATTCCCAGAAAAGCTAGGTCCACACTCCCCATTCACACTCGGACCACAGATGTCGTCGTCAAATTTTCCGGAGTAGCATTTACCGGGCCCGCAGAAGTCTGGTCCGCCACCGCAGTATCCATATATCGAACAGCATCTGGTTAAGCGTATTAGCGATTCGGTTTATGACATGGGACACATTGATACTATAGAGTCTACAACGCAAAGGGAAAAAAGAAAGTGGGAACAAATCGTACGAGCCAAATCTTGGATTGGTACAAGTGGTATAACCCCAGTCTGGACCACAAGTGCCATCTTTAGTGGCAGTATCACCCCCCTCATCACAGGCCCCCGACACGCAGTTGCCAGGGCTACAATACTCTGGAGTACTGCCGCAGTAACCGCCTATTGAGCAGCACCTAAAGAAATTTGATTGAGCTCTGCGCTTGTGATCATGAGCGGGTTGGGTAACGTACTTTCCGAATTTACTCCCTTCGCAGATAGAATTTTGATGTGCTGGTCCACATGTGCCATCTTGAGATATTCCGGTATTTGTCACGGGTGCGACGCAGATATCGTAGTTTAGCCAAAGGTTGGTACAATTGTCCCAAAGCTGTGTCGTCAAGTTCTTAGTCATGGTAATGTAGTTTTTTTGCATCACTCACGTAGTTATTCATGGACTGCAGATCTAACTGGGTTAGGCCACTGATCACACGATTAGTTATAGGGATAAAGGTCAGATATGCTGGAAGTTCTTACAAGCGAAGAGCTATTGTGTTACACTATTGCCATGATTAGGAGGTGAACTTGGACAAGGGTAAATGAAGACTTACTTCATCACCAGCGACAACCTTGTAGTACCGGCCACACTCAGTGATGGTACCGGCCCGGGTAGGTTCTGCTGGCGTTGCTAGAATGAACAGTTAATCAAAAAATACTTCTATCGAAGAAAACAGGATTTTCCCAATGCCGGTGCTAAAATAGGAGCCCGCAGTGGTTGGAGAATATATGACGCCCGAGGGCTTGAAATATCCTGCTGGTGGCCTAGTTTGGGAAAATCAGTCGAGAACTTAAGTTACAAAATACCAGTCTATTTCAATATTTACACACCCTTTACAAACTCTCTGAGCATTGGTGAGGAACCCACAGTCACCAAGAATAGTAGGGTTCCAGGCCAGGAGCTGTGTTAGCGTGACGGGGTTTTCTTTCGTAGAATGAGCGGCCGCTAAATCTTCACTGGAGAGCCATTAGAATAGGTAGTCCACTTAGTGTTCGGAAGAAGAGTTTCAAAAGAACACTTGTGACTTTTAGCTTACCAAGACGTCTTATCCCAAATGGTGTCAAGCTCACAGGGTTTAGGCAGGCATAAGGGTTCGGTGAAATGACATTCATCATGTTGGGTGGCGTGGACCACTGCTCCAGTGCTCACATTATACTTATCAGAGAGATCCCAGCAACCCAAAGGTGGGTCAACCGGTTGAATTAACTGGCCCGCACAACTTGATGTTGGCTTAACGGTTGCAGTGGTAGTAACTGGGGTCGCACTGGGCGATACGAGTAAGGTAGTCTTGTAGGTAGTGACAGGCAGGTTCGTGGAGCAATGCTTCTGCATGGAAGAATATTGCTGTAACAAATACTCTGTGTACTCACTTGATGGAAGAAGAGCAGACATCAAGCGCTGTCTCCACATCTTGATAAAGCAGTCACTGCATAACTATATGCTCCATCGGGAAATATTAGCAGGATATTCTCTCATTTATCAAGCATATGGTCCTACAAGTTGTTCCTCATACAAATTTGTCACATCCATCATGGCTGACGACATTTGAACTGTGGAGAAATTTGGATCCAAACACTCGGGGGGGTTGTCATTCTAGTTATCATGATAACATGTGTCTGGATCCCATCTACCAGTGTTTAGTCATAGAAGCCACTTGTAGGGGCTTGGTCAGCGATACCTAATATAGTCACTGCCCTCCCAATCTTGCGACTCGAGAAAGCAGAAGTTGGACGCACTGGATTTTAGCAGTACATTAGCGGTGTGTCTTCACAAGGGTGCTTGTATGTTGCTTCACTTACGTGTCTCGCAAACACACCAAGTCATGCCCTTCCTTCCATGCCGTCGGCACAATCTTCGCCAGCACCTTAAAGTCTGCGGCGTACACAGTCTCTCCTTCGCAGTCTTTCTCCACGGATGTTAGCCAGGAGGAGAGGGAGGCCGCACACTCCTGTGTACATAGCGTGGTGACATTTTTGGCTGCCCAATCTATTTACCAATTAGCAAGAGAGCCGAAGAACTGGTAACAAGTCCCTCAGAACTTGTGTTCGGGATGAAGGAATACTTGCAGTATTTGTCGGGACCAGATGCAGCCTTACTCCCGGTTTTGACATCGCAAAGGACCGTAGAGTTTCTTGCAGAGAGTGAGCTGCAACTCGCAAACACCGACTAACATGAGTAGCAACTGTGGGCCACAATAACTCACAATGACTGCAAACACTGATCTGAGAGCCCGAATGCTAGTTGGACGACTTGACTTTCTAGCCCCGCGTAAACATTGAAAGAGCCTTGTACTAGCTTTAACAAGCCGAGGCAAACCCAAAACCAAGGCCCCATGACCTCGGCCACTTTCGTACCATATACCATGGTTGAAGGGAGACTCCGTTATGTCTATGACGCTTGGGGAACTCTCCGAAGTGGGATGATTGCCAACATATACTCAACGACAGGTATGAAAGCCATGGTGAAGACCACAAAAAGGGGTGCCAAATGTAACGTATAATAGAAGCTTTTCTCCTGTGCAATCTTGACTCGAAATGAGATTTACGTAACTTTTACATAGATATTAACCCTTACTGGAGCTGGTTTCCCAATTCAATACTCCAACTCCTAAGAGTGGACCTCTTGATTGCAGCGCTTATACGCTCATCGTACCACCTTTAACGCTCTATTGATGCCAGTTTGACCCAATGTTACATTTTTTAATTGTCTAGTTTCCTTGGAAAATGAGCTACCTGTATCAGCAATCTACGAGGCCGAAAAGGCCGCTGACCTGGTCAAGATATATTCTGCTCCTCAGGATCCTATAGCAACTTCTGTATTGGTGGGCAACATTGCCGAAAACCAGGTAAATCAGCCCTACCGGCGGCGGTCATTTGAAAATGCCTCTCCGGTTGAGACGAATGCCGCAAAGCCGGACAGCACCATGATACAAAGACGGAAACGTCATTTCCAGAGGCATCAGGATCTTTCCCGACATCACCACTAACAGCTACTTCTGGTGGATGCACGTGATGGATATTTCACTGAGTTAGCAACAAATACGGATACCTCTCGATATTAGCGAACTCCATTTTGTATCGTGACTCTTATTATTTAGCCAACAAACCCTATCCTGTACTAGGTCAGTGCTAATTTATATCAGTTACTTAAAATACGAATTAGAAGCTATTAGTTAGGTACCAATAATTTCTGTTGATGGAAGTTTGGCAAGGACCTCACCCTTCCCTTACGCGTATTTTTTGAGGATTAAGGTCGAGGTTCTTGAGGTCGCGCAAACAGGATAAAGATAGATATATCAGGAGCTTGCAGTAGTATACAGAGCAGCTAGTGTACACAACCTGTGTTACTTCTTATTTTCTACCCACGTGTAGTGTTCTAGATGTGAGCTACCAATATCACATTGCTTGAGGTTCGTATCATATTTAAGCAGTTCCGACCACGTTCAGTCAGCTCATCCCAACTTCTTAAGTTATCAAAGCAAAAGAGCAAAAAGTAAAAGCGCTGCAGCAGTTGCATTGTGTCTTTGAACTTCACAGTATGACACTATGAATGTCTCAAGTATATTGTCTTGCCGATAGTGACCCGTCGTATTTGACCGTGCCCTCGTTAAGAGTTGGTCAGGTCATGGATCTTGAACCCAAACCCGACCCGATGCCAACTCCAATATCTCCGCTGATGCATTGATATGGCTAGTAAGTACAACTAGAATGTGACGACCTGTGAAGTTGACGACATAAACGACAGCTACTACGGCGGTTCCACCTCGATCTGCCAGGTTTCTCAGCCTGATACTGAAAGCGCAGCCGGTAGAACAGCAAGTATACGAGATATTTCTGGATATGTCACCAGTTCTAGTTGTCAACACCTGTTATGTGGGTATTCATATCTTCCATATCAACCACTCTGGTATCCGGGTAATCATGGGCTCGGTCGCAACCGTCGCATTCATAACCAGGAAGTAGATCAATGCAAGTTGGAATCCCATGGAGATAACGACACGTGGGCCCTTGACAGGTATAGTTCCTGACATACTATGATTCCGTGATTAGCACTGTTCCTTATTTTAAGCCCTCACACCAAATTACGAGGAGCTTACCTTGCAGATAAACAGCTGATCACACTTGGTGCCCATCAAGCGTTCATGTTCGCAGGGGTGGCCCAAAAGATGAGCTGGCCAGATCTGACGTAGAAGATCACCGTCGTATGCAGCATCAGCTTGAATGTTCCCATCGTGGGCTGCTATATTTCCTTGGCCGATAAGAACCCTGTCTTCGCTGGACGCGGTCTTAAAAATGTTCCCCCGGAATGCTGAAATGAATCTGGTCCTGTTTTGTGAGTAGCCAACAGCATATCACGTATGGTTCTGTTGTCCGAGCCGATTGACCGCGTTGTGGAGATCATAAAGCCACTCTTGGTGTTTTCGAAGGGTGGTGTCGCTCTCTCGCTCGTGCTCGGCCATAGCCGATTCCATTTCAGCGATTTTCGACTCTAACATATGTTAACTGCGGATATCACAGGCGATCCCTAGACCCATACTGTTTCCAATCCGCATGTCATCGTGCACCGTGTCAGAATACAGATCATCCGTTTCAGGGCACTCAGCCAGGGCTCTTTTGAAGCGAGCCTTCATCTCGGACTCTGAAGCTGTATTCAGCGTGGTTGTTACCACAACCGTGGACCTTTTGTCACTGTGTATGGCAATGTCATTATCCGTAACAGCTTGCGTTTTTGCGCGTTGCACTTGGGGCATGGCGATGATATGATAGTATATGTATGTGGTCGTGTTGACCTACAGTCAAAAGAAGCAGGTGAGAATAGTTGCGTGAAGCCCACAAGACAGAGTAACTCGTGCTCAAGAGGAGTACTCCGGGAAGGCGCTTTCAAGGAAGAAGAGTCCTATTCGAGTATATCGTAGAACCCACGACTAGTAGTATTGATGAGCTCCCTTCCCTCTTAATGGCGTAGATACTGCATGAATGGGGGAATGTCAAGATGAGTATGGATGGCCATCACTATGTCAGACATCCATATTTCTGCAAAAAAGGTCTAACCCACTTTTCATCTATTGCCCATGTATTTATTGCTTGATGGAAGTCCTGTACTAGCCATAAGCTTGACAAGGTGTGCAGAGTGTGATATCAAAGCGAGGTGAGAATACATGACCTTGGTAGTTGGAAAGGATCCTAGGTTTATATATGGCTCGGGATATATTCAACGCCCTGGTTCATTTTATTCATGGAAGTGATTTATGATTCACACACACAAATTCCCCAGCTAATATGACCTAGCCCCGTTCACCAATGTTGTGAAATACGGTCAGTATTCCTCTCGGATATTCAATCTTAGACGACGTTCAATATTGCGACATAAGAGGTATCAACGATGCTATCTTAGCCTAGATATATGTGGACTGAGCCATTCCCACAACTCAGGAGACAATTCCCAAACTTGCTTGTGGAAGCTCAAGGGCGTTCTGCTCGAGTTCAGTGATTATTTGATCCGGTCTTCACATTGGCATTCTTTCATCTATATACGCTACGGTAGATCAACAAGTATTCCCACATCACTGTCATATGATGGGAAGTACAGTAGCGAAGGGCGGTTCGAATCAACTGAATTGAACATACTCACGCCCTGTTGGCGATTACATCCGCCGCCTTCACTGCCATGGCATACAATGCGGCCTGGATATGGCCCGCGATTGGGGTGGGAATTACGCTGGCGTCGACAACCCGCAAGTTGGATATTCCATGCACTTGGAATCTGTTATCGACAACTTTACCCATTGAGCATGTTCCCATAGGGTGGTACGTAGAACTACCTTCGTTAGTGACGACCTTTTAGAAGAGCTAGGTGTATACGCACAATGCTCCATGCCGAACTCTAGCATCCAAGTACTCATCACTTGAGTTCAGGCTAATCGGCTCGAATCCATCTGGTGGGGTCTCCTGATCGATAAGTGACTTCCCTGAATCGGTCCCCAGAAATAACTGAGCGGCAGTGCGCAGCCCCGTGCGCCAGGCGTAGCGATCCACCTCGGTTGACAGGTAATTGGGGTCAATTACAGGTGGATCGGTCAGGTCTGTAGAACTGATGGTAACATGGCCTTTCGAAGTCGGCAATAGGCCAACGATGGTCATACATATGTGGGTGCCATCTAGGGGTACGACCGGGTCTGAAGGACTGCCAGCCGCGTACAGCACGATGTACTCTAGGAAGGATCGCTCGGCTTTCAGGAGAGGGTGGTCTGCTGATGGTGGACTCCCTTCGTCCGCTGTAATTGCCTCTACCAAGCCATCTTTGGGGATGCTGGTAGTGACAATCCAGTCTACGGGCACACCCTGTCCGAATTCAGGTTTGGCAAAGAGAGGATTGTCCGACCCAAGGGCATACCCTTTTGAAGGGTCTTTGAGCTTCCAGTACTGTGCGAACTCTAGATGGTCGTAGAGGTTTCGTCCAACGTTTGGGGCATCAACCACAGCCGAGATGTCATGCTGTGACAATATCTCTCCTGGGCCGATTCCAGAGAGCATCAAAAGCTGTGGAGTGCGGTATGCTCCGGCAGAGGCGATGATCTCCCTGCCGTAGTATTTCTCGCCGCTTATTGTTTCGATTCCGATGGCTTTCGGTGTACTATCTTCCGAGGTTATAAGAATACGCCTCACGAGTGTGTTGGTCATGACATGGACACCATCAAGTGGATAGGCAGCGCTAGCCAACTGACGGAGTCCATCACGGCGATTCTCTACAAGCTCTGCCCGGCCCTGAGGATTACCTCTGTTTCCATCCAAGCCTGGTAGGGCGCGGACATGGTTCTCGTCCCATGCCTGTGCTAGTGGCTCGCGCAGTGGATACTGGCGACCGGTTGAAGAGACCGAGGCGACATACAGCGGACCGTCAGATCCATGTTGCCTATCCGTTTGGCTTCCGTCGGTGTATTTCTCCGTCGCGATGAAATAGGGCAGCATAGAATCATAGCTGTAGCTTTCGTCCCCAACAATCTCAGCCCACCTGTCATAATCGCTACGATCACCACGGATCCATCCACCTGGGGAAGAATTGTCAGTCTAAGAATCCATGATCAGAAATAGCTGCACTTACAGTTGTTGATTGCGGTTCCCCCACCAAGGCATTTCCCCGCCGGGTTTCCAATCTTGCGACCCTCGAGATTCTTCTGAGGCGTCGTGACATATCCCCAGTCCAAATCACATCCGATGAGAAATGCTGTATTGTTTGCATACGGGATCAAAGTGTTGTCAGAGGCGTCAACACCGGCCTCGACCAGAAGAATATTCAATGACTTATTGGCATTATATAGTCGATTTGCAACGACGGAGCCTGCGAGGCCTCCACCCACGATTATGTAGTCGAAATGTACTGTGCTCATGTTGTATCATTACTTTGTCGGAAGGCTACAGGCTGGCGGGGTTTGATCTTGTTTATAATCGCTGCCAACATGAGGCTGTGCTTCGTACATGCATTAGCCTGGCGCTACTTCTAGGCTCAATGGCTCGTCTAGCACAACAATTCGTCAATGCCTCGTAACCGTCGGTGATCGCTGCTGATAATGAGGAGCACGCCGCCAATTATTACTGATCTTCATTTATGACACACGATACTCTCCAGTGGCGGTGCGACATATAAAGAATATGCCTGCAGACTGGCATTAATTTATCTAAGGTTATACCCTTCATGGACATATGCCCTATATGCTCTCCATTTGAGGCTGGCCCAATGAAATGGCTGTTTGGGGTTGGATCAGTCACCTGTCTGTACTTTCAAACATCAAGCCACAGATGGCCTCTGGGTTTATGCGCCCCGGATCGTGTGTGTGTAGTACCTAGAGAGTGTTCCTGCACAGCTACAGCCCACCTCCGTCCGCTCCCTTGAGTATTCTGTATCATACGTGTAACCTAATGCAGTGCGCACTTTCCTGTCATCGTCTCAATTTCCCCAGGGATCCCCGTTTTTAGTCTCATCTTATCTGACATAGCAACAAGTATTCCACAAAGCTCCATCGTCGCCTCAATCTCCTGAATATGATAAAACAGTACTGCTGATAAATTCTTAAACAATGTACTTCTTTGCAATGCTAACTAGACACGTTCACTCAATCCAATAATCAAATCTCATCATGATACCCCCCAGCATACCCTCCCAACCAAACCGCACCCAAAACAACCACCAGACCCAGTCCAACCCAGGAAAGAAGCGTTCCAACAGCCCCCCAGAAAGCCATATCGACATGCTCATTCAGCGCCTTCGCAGTATACTCCCTCGGCCACTCTTCCGCAGGAACCTCAACCCCCAGAAACGGACACAGCACATCCCACCCATCCCTCCCGACCTTCAACTCCAACCTCCTCTCCTGCGGAACAGCCTCCCTCACCTTCCGATAATGCTCATGAAACGCCTCCTCACACGCCCCCCTCTCGTAACAATTCCCACAAAAAACCCTCCAAACCAGCTCAGACATGCGATACAGCGGTCCAATCTGCTTCTTGTCGCAGTACTGCCAATACCGGAAGAACGGCATCCGGATGAACCGAAACAGCGTCTTGTCCATGGACACCCACCAGGAATCGAAGTCCCGGGTTGTCAGGATGACCTTTGCGTCCGGGTAGGCGTGGATGAGATCCTCCCAGAATATTGAGGCCGGGATGTCGAGGACGGCGTCGTAGGTGCCGATGAGTCGGTCGAATTCCTCGCGGCCATAACGGGGGATATTGTTCGGGTCCCGGTTGAAGAAGTTACAGTTCAGTGCTTCAATCCAGAGGTTGAAGTCTCGGGGCGGAGATTTGAAACATTCGGAGCCGTGGTACGGCGTGTAGCCCAGTTTGCGGAGGGCTACGACAAGGGCTGTGGGGATTTGTTAGTGTCTGTATAACTGGGGATATTACTGGGGGGACGTACAGTTTGTTCCGGTGCGAGTTAGGCCCAGGCAGAGGATGCGCATGGGCTTTGTGCGTGTGTTGGGCTCGTGGTCGATTAGTCGGGGCATTTTGTGGGGTTGTTTCTGAGACGTTGGTTCGGAGGGGGTGGCTTGATTTTGTTCGTCGGGGAGTTTTTGTTCAAGTTGTTTATCCCGGGAAGACTTGTTGGGTGGTTGCCGGGTAGAGGCATGCTCTAGTAGCATGAAATATAATTATGTGGCTGGACTTTGGGTGGAATATAAATTAGTGAAGCGGATAAGGTTCGATTTCGTCATCATTAAGAACCCCATCCACAGGAACATGCAGAACATGTATCCAGGAACCACCCAACTTTGGATAATTACCGTTGTATATTGGAGGGAATATGAGCAACGGTAGCTAGTTTATAGGAGATTACATGATTTTTCTAGTGTTTGAATAACTAGGTAGCTAGGAAAGCTCCACTCATGCGGCTGGGCTTTCTGCAGATCTATAGGAACACTAAGAATGGCATTGTTTTTCTTTCAACCAGGATCCAAGGCTACTAGCGATATATCCACCTTAGTATGAACACTCAACCCTATCGAATTATCCCATTTATGAACACAAGGAGATCCTCTCTGTATTGTGACTTCGCTGCAGCTGTTCCGGTTATATGTGTCTGGATTATTGAGAGAAGGGCATCCTGGTCAGATGATCTGTGGGTCAATGCCTTGAGCTTACCTTTATAAGTCGATTTAATGTGACTTCTCAGCCTTGTCAAATTAACTAGGGATGGGGCCCATCCCTAAATGCCGTTTCTCTTCGTATCTCTCTTCACACTTTCCTTCCTTTGGTTTTTTCTGTTTTCTTTTCTTCTATATTCTTTGTTTTCGTTTTTTTTTTTTGGGATATTCTCCTACACTAGCCGGTACCAATTATACTCCTCTCCATAATCCACACCTGGCTAGGTGAGATAGTTTGGCCTTCCGCAACTCAGCCCAGAAGTCGGACGAGTCTAAAGTAAATTTAATTGACTTTCGCCTTGTCTTCTCCAACTAAGTTCTTCTTTTGGAATATTGCAAAGTTACGGCTTGAGATCCTCTTCCAGCAAAAACTATGGGAGCTGAATCATCGCTCAGTGTTGCACCTTCTCCCCTTTCGCATGATCCGTATCTGGGTCTCACCATAATTGGGAATGGTATGACTGGGATTATTGTTCAGCTGGGGGAAGACCGCGCTGTTAAGAAAGCCAAGCAGTATCAGCCCGGGGACTTCCCAAACCGTGAGGATGTGGAATACATAAACGACATCAATCAGCAAACTCTAGAGAATGAAAGCCGGGTCTTTGAACGCCTGGGCAACTATCAAGGCATTATCCCCCATTTCCGAACATCCAAGTATGGAATTGAGTTAGCCCTAGCACAAGGAGATCTTGAATCCTATCTAGAAACCTATTCCGAGCGCGAGAACGCCCTGAAAACCACCTGGATGTGTTGTCTCATTGACACCTTCTCACACGTCCACTCTCGCCGAGTCTTTGTGGATGATATTGCTCTGCGCAATATCCTAGTCCTGGATGAGCAGCTTAAACTTGCAGATTTCGGACAATCCATCTTGTTGCCACTCGATGTCGATATTACTGCTGCAAATGAAAACGACTTGAATATTCAGATTGAGATCCTTCATCTTGGCTGGATTCTCTATTCCATTGCATCCTGGCGCGTCCATAAATACTATTTCTTCAATCCTAAGAACCCGGACCTAGTTTGGCCTGCACCAGACTCATTCCCACATCTTGACGGTGTTCTCTTTGGGCAAATAATCAAGAAGTGCTGGCGTGGTGAATATGCGACTATGGATGATGTGAAAGATGAGGCTCGCCAATTGCTCGCTAGTGACTAAAGTCATGCTGGTGCCGGTTCTCTTGCCTGGCTCGCTAGCACAATTAGATTCACCAAAGGACCTGCCATCTGGAGACGTGTTCCAAAAGATGGTGAGTACTTTCCCCTCCCCTGTATGACTTTTGCTTCTACTGTTCTGCGAAGTATACGTCATCCATTAACTCTTTTTATTAGAAGAGTTGTTTGCCGTTTTATTAAGAAACATTGGTCGGAGTTTAATAGACTCCTAAGCCAGGCTGTTATGTGTTCCTTCAGAAATGCCTTCATTATGTCGGTATAAAAAGAAGAGTGCCGAACACCATTTCCAATATGCAGGCATAATATTAGAGAGCGAGCCCTGAGTGCTCACTGTGATTTTGATTCGTATTTATATGGTCATTACCGCGAAAACTTGGTTTGAGGAGTCCCAGTTCAATAGAATTTCGTATTAGGGGGTAGACTCTCTCTCTGGTCATTTCTCTGGAGTTCGTGATAGTTAATATCTGGTATTGAAGGAAACGAAGGAAGACAAACCAAAACCTCCCCGAGATTTTCAACGAGATCGGCTTCATATTTGCAGTATTCTTTCTCACGGGATCCCATATCATCAAAAGTCATTGCGACATCAAAATCAATCCATACGATTCTACTACCAGACACAACCAGCATATTCTTCGGGTAAATATCATGATGGTGGACAAGAGCACTGTGGATCTTTTTGATACCATCAACCGTATACTGAAAGAGAGCTTCGGAATAATTCACGCAATTCAGTCGTTCGGCATTCGGTAAGTACTCGAGGAGAACCGCCCTCGGTTGGAATTGATCGTGGATGAAATGTGTAAGAGGTGGCGCAAAAGCGGACGGGTCAACACGATCGATATAGCTATAAAAGAATGGGGACAAAGCCGCGTTCGCACACGCCAAATTAATGGAGGTTACAATAGGCATTCAATTCACAGCGAAAGCGGTTTAGGTCGCGGCCCCTTTTACTGTATCCTGGGTCGCCATTATCGTGGAACTGACACGTCAGCGTCGCCCTGGAAGACCAAAAATTCGTACTCACGAGACTTCATAACACGCCTTTCTCCATATATCTGGACTTCATATATGGTTGAGGATTCTGAGAAGTTGATTGGCCGTTTTATGGTGATATCACTAGGATCCAGATCCAGTGAGTGATCACCCAGCAAGCTCATCGTCATTGTGCGAGCTATGGAGAGATGAAAGTGTTGGATGAAGGGAGTTTGGACAAGCTTGAGAGACATGCGAATCCTCTGGTTATATGATGACAACCAAGTCATGTGATAGATATGTAAGGGGTGTTGGACGCCTTTCGGTAATACTAGGACTGTGGTATCTTAGAATAATAACTAGGGTCTAGATTATAGTAAACACTGGTGCAGAACCAATGTCACCGTTCACGATCCTTGTGGCTTTAAGTTACCCCATACCCCCTAAGTCTGCTATTTCTATGTATAATTTTTCTGCCTTCATCCCCATATCTATAATCGTATAACATTATCGACTAATACCCTCTTCTCGACGTGTTGGCTACAGTGAATCCTTTCCTGTAAGTAATAAGCCCAGACTTTCTTCAGGCCCTCAACCAATCATAATAGAAATATCATGATATATTGTCGCTCCCATGGCAAAGAATGATATCCTGCTATCTAGTGAATGTACGTATAGTTCTATAGATCTTGCTAGAGTGCAACCTTGCTTAACAGTGATTTATTAGATACTTCCTAAGATCTTCAGAGTGACTGAGAGATGATGTATGCTGATACCGCCCGAGATTGATGATTTACCCGATCTAGGTACCTCAAGCTTCAGGCGCGGAATAACAAAAGTATTAAGAAGGGAGAGAAAAAAAGAGAGAGAAAAGGAAAAAGAAATAAAACAAAACCAAAGTACCAGAGCCAATGCTATACTGCACCCGAAAAGGCATTTCCTACCCATCACGATATACAAAACACCCAGAAACGACCTAAAAACACCCAGCAGAAAAAGCAATATGACGACATCCAGGTGCTGAGGTAGTTCTAGATAAGGTAATCGGAGCCACGATGGTGCGTAGACCTTCCGTATGGGACGAGAGTGCTAATGCATGACTAGCACCGCCATATAAACGATGAAGATCTCCCCGCATTCTGCACTCCGCATTTTCCCCGGATCTTGAATACTGCCGTCTCTGTCCGAAAAGGGAAGGTTTGGGCTCTTTCAGGTTCCATGGGGGTTTTCCCGGGTCCTTTTTTCTTTGCATTTACTTTGTAGGACGCAGGGATGGTGAGGGAGTAAGTGCCATGTCTTGCTCTTTGCATGGCTGCGTCGGGGGTGCGGGGTTGTTGTATAAATTAATGGACATTTCCACTGTCTAGATAGGAATTTCTGAGGTATCAGAAGTGGATAAAGTTACAGAGATTGGGAGCAGTATCTGACAATCATGGCTCTCCTAGCCCATCTATTGATACTATATGCATCATGTCTCACTCTCGTCCCCGCCCTAACCCTCAATCCCTTCCCCAATAAACCGCGAGTCTTCGTCCTCTCGGACATCTCCAATGAACCGGATGACGCCCAGTCACTCGTCCGATACCTCACATACAGTAACCAGTTCCAGACGGAGGGCATCGTGGCCACGACATCAACCTGGATGAAGAACGAAACTGACCCAGAGGCCATGTACGACATCATCGATGCATATGAGAAGGTCGTCGACAATCTGAATCACCATGCGCCAGCGGATTCCCAGTACCCATCTGCAGAACATATGCGGAGTCTAGTCCGTGCAGGGTCTCCGGTATATCCCCTAAGGTTCTCATGACCCCACTTCACATCTACTAACAGTACCAACAGCTCTTCGGTATGGCCGCCCTAGCCCCCAACGTCACCTTCAGCGCCGGGGCCGAACTCCTCCTCGACCGCATTCAAGCCACAACAAACAGCAGCTCCCCTCTCTGGGTCCTCGCCTGGGGCGGCACCAACGTCCTCGCGCAAGCCCTCGTCAAACTCCACAAGGACAACTCCCCAGAAAAAGCTGCCGCCCTCCGACAGAACCTCCGCATCTACACCATCTCCGACCAGGACGACACAGGCGCCTGGCTGCGCCAACAGTGGCCAGACCTGTTTTGGATCAACTCCATCCACGGCTGGAACCAGTACAGCATGTCCACCTGGGTCGGGATATCGGGCGATGAATTCTACGGTGTCGACAAGGGCGGCCCAAACAGCACCCTGGTAAGCAAGGCCTGGATCAAAGAGAACCTCCAAATCGGGACCTTGGGTGCCGCATACCCGGACGTGGCGTTTACCATGGAAGGAGATACACCGTCATTTCTTTATCTCATCCAGAATGGACTGGGGGTGTCGGAGCACCCCGAATATGGGTCATGGGGCGGTCGATATCAGTTGGTGACTCCCAATCAACATGGGCTAGGTTTCCGACATTATGCGGACGTGCAGGACCAGGTGGTGGGTCTTAATGGTGATACGTTCAAGTCGAATAAGGCGACAATTTGGCGGTGGCGAGATGCATATCAGCATGATTTTGCGGCGCGCATGCGCTGGACGCTGACCGATGATGTGACGAAGGCCAATCACCATCCTCTTGTGAAAGTTAATGGGAGTTCGGGCTTGGAGCCGGTCGATGTTTATGGGGTTGCTGGCTCGGAGGTTATTGTAGATGCTGGCGAGTCAGTAGATCCGGATGGGGACGAGTTGACCTTCAACTGGATTTATTATCCTGAGCCCAGTACCCTCAACGGGGCCCCGGATGTGAACGTTACAACTTTTGGGTCGCGTGGTGAACGTGCCAGGCTGCCGGTTCCGGTTATCAATAGGACCTGCGAAGTAGGTATCGAGCATTGTGATCTGTTCCATTTCATTCTGGAGGTTAAGGATTCGGGCTCGCCGCCGTTGACTACCTATCGTAGGATCTTGCTGCATGTTACTAAGTCTGGCTCCCAGTAGCCCCGGGCACACATTGCTATACACTATAGATGAATGATACGAGTTTGATTGTTCTTTAGCGAGATGATATGCTCGTGAGTGAGTGTAGCATTGGTATCGTGTATCAGTGATACCGATAACGTAAGAGTAGTCCCAACACCTAACGCCGTTCGATATATTATATACCCAATTTCAGGCCATACAGGAGGATCCCATAGTTGTCATTATTTTCTCAGATCATCGGATGACACGCGTTCCAAACCCGCTTCTCCGTCCAGGTTCTCACTAAATAGCATCTTCGGATTGAACGCCAGCGATCCTCTCGGCACGAAAGTCGATACCAAGACCAGTCCTGATATTATCGTGAATTGGACCGATGCGACATTCTGTATGGCTGCATATATATTGCCCCCATTCTCGGATCCTCCGGTGTCGCTGTATACGCGGTCAATGTAGCTTCCAAGGATCGGCGATGTGATGGCGTAGATGATGATATATGTCGAGTACAAGAAAGCCATCACCGCACCCAGCGCAGAGACATTTCGCGTCTTCGATTCGACGCGTGCTAACGTGGCTTGGATATATGCTGCCAACGAGACATCGCCAGCCGCCCAGCCAAACGAAATCGGAATAAATGTAGCTGCCGCCATCCAGGCAGCGCTAGCTTGCGTCTGTGGCCGCCAGAATGGTAAGTACCATGTTATGAGGAGCATGACGGCATCTAATCGAAGCCAGGGAACCGGTGTTGTCACCAGATTCGTGAAAAGGATAACGAACAGGGCGCCGAGAAGCTCCCCTAAATTTGATCCCCCCACGATAATCTGCGACCAAGCTGCATTACCCAGGTATCGACGGGCGATTGCGGGTGCTACCGCATTTTCCAGGTAGCGATGAGCATACAGCGCAACGGAATACCCTGGAACCAGCCAGATAAACTTGCGCGAGGTAAAGATAATCCGACCACCGGTCCAGATTGATTCAACAAACAGCCAGAACCCAATAGTGACCGCTTTAATATACGAAGGCTGGCGTTCTAATACCGGCGTATCGTGGCTGCGGAATGTTTCGTCGGTGAGGAAGAACCAGGAGATAGCGGCGAGTGCGAAACAAATCGGGGTGATCAAGAAAGAATAGTTGTTCCCAAAAAATGGGATCAAGGCTAACGCCGTACAAAACGCACCACCCGTACCGGACACCTCGTAGAATATGTGCACTAAGGCATCGAGATGACGTAGTTTCTTAACATTTCCCCCGACAATATCGCGCGGAATAACACGGCGCATCAGTTCGACCATGCCATAGGCAATTCCTGCGACACAGTAGACTGGGATCATGCCATCGGTGTTGTACCGGCCGTAGTAATGGAAATCATGGTCAGGGTGGTGGTCGCGAAAGCTTGCTGGTGCAAATGTACCCCCAGTGCTTGCATCGATGATGAGGAGAAGGGCACTGAAGAGCCCGAATACTAACACTGCACTGGAGAGCACAATGCGAGAGGGGAATCTCCGAATGAGCGGGGCGATCAAAATGGATCCGATACACTGGCAGGCTTGATTGAGGCCCACCATGAGCCCAACTCTTTGAAAAGTCTTTGCGGATGTCTTCGCCCGCATCGCATCATAGTCGTAGCGATTAGTTGCAAGGGCCACAATTGAGCCGTTAAATGCCTCTAGGCCAAACTTGTAGATCATAATCCCCAAGATGTAGAAGGCCACATTGCGTCTCTCGCGTGGGGTGAAAGCGTACCAGCCGTCCCGAACAGCATCGACGAAAAATGGCGCCATAGCTTTAGCTATTCCATGGTACTATGAAGACATCGCGACTCCCAAGGGAAGATCGCCAGCAACGACCTGAGACCGTCGCGACCATATAAGTCACCATGTTGTAGAGGAACACCTGGGTTCATCTCACCACCCATTGTGGCTGTAATTATCAAGCGTTCTTGAGTCAGCCCGGTCGTATTTACAACTTGGCTGCAGGTTCCGGAACAAATCCGAAGGCGACGTTAGGGCACGTTGCAAGGGGCCGACAGCAGCAAAGAGTGTGATGGCTTGAGATTTAATCATGGCGTTATGCATATTAGAATCAGGCACCGGGCGAGCAAAAAGCAAGTAGGTCTTGGCCAACAATGTCAGGGAATCGAATCACGCTTTCGGACCACGTGCTGGGTGATCCAAGAACAGCTAGTCTCCTTGCCTAGCCGGCCTGAGCTTTCAGGGGTTCCATACGATAGTTCCAAGTCCTCTCTTATCCCAATCGATGTCAAATACACGATCACGGTTAAACCTAAACGGTTCCAATTGCAAGGTTCCATTGTTGACGGGAGATACCACAATGACTTCAGTTCCACCAGGCCACTGGTCCGGATTTCCTACATACACACGCAACCCGACTGGACCTCTTTCCCACCAGATGACCTCTTCTATTGTGTCTAGATCTCATATCCACTTTTTTTTAATTGCATTCAATTGTGATATGTTACATTATTTCCGGCTTTGGTCCATGGGTATCACCTGACTCTTGTCACTCCCCATGCACCAAATTGCTAGCAGAAGCCACAGGTGATGTATATCATTACAAAACCGTGCATAATTCCAAAGAAGGACTACTACCTGAATTTACAATAATAACTGCGATGTAACCGGTAGTTTGCTAGGAGCCTGAGATAGCTTAGAGGTGTGATTGAATTACATTATCACCATGTGTTGTAACAGTGGTCCCTCAACCACGGGCTACCTTCTCTTCTCATTGTCTACTCCCAATCGGTACCTGGAAGTTACACCCCTGCCCCATTCTCCGTGTGAATCAAGAGTTCCACGTGTTTATACGTGGCCAAGGGCTGGTACCCTCGTTCGAAACGACCTGTCAGTAATCATTGAGGCTCCTGGTTTATTGGCTGTTACTGCTGTTTTTTTTCCCACTTAGTCAACCTCTCCTCGGCTCGCTACAATTGTGCAACGCGATAATAATGAGCTGCGTACCCTGGAACTGGTTCGCCAGTATACAGATGTTCCTGTAATATCAGCGCAATGAATATGGAGGATAGCATTCCGTCCAATAGATATTGTCTTAGTCCGGGAGCTCTGACCATATTAATCCAAATTCAGTGTCTTGGAGCGAATTCCGGGTTTCACGGTAATGGAGGTAGTGTGTGGGAGCAGAGCTTCTCTCGCCAAAATAAAGCCTCAAGCTTCCAGTGTAAGGTTTTGTTCAGGAACTGGCAAAAGTTCCTAATGGCTCTGGAGGCCTTCAGTCGTTGACGTCTACGGGCGATCTTTTTCACGTCCAGCCTCTTGGCCGTGGACCATTTGAATCCACAGAAGTGTTTCTCGGAGCATACCAGGATGAAGAGGCGCCTCTTATTCACTAGACAGATCCCCTTAGCATGTCAGTGTTATCACATATCGATTGCAGCCTCTCCAGCATCATACTGCATCCGAATATAGACGTTCTTGCCGATGTGATTGACTGGGAAATGACCGCTTTCTTTCCCGGGGTGGGAAGAGTATTTGTGCCATCAATGGACCGAATAGCAAATGCTTGTTGACGGGACAGCATGCTGATTAGACACTCAGCAGTATATAACACCATAATATTTAAAATCTGAACATATACGACTAATATTCGATATTGGTTGCGTTCCACAGGGGTGCTAGGCCATGCTCGTTGCGATCGGATTCGTCACGGTATTCGTAACCGATATATATACAGTACGAATCCACATGCTCTCTTGTTGTTCTTAAGTCAACTTCACTTCCGGGGTGTAATTAAATCGCCAGGAGGTTCATCGGCCTTTTTTGTTGGGCAGTATTCTGAATCAATCTTTTCGTTACCCACACGATGTTGGAGTTACGTAGCAGCACGAGGCCACCGCAGATGATGGTGCCATATCACGGGATTTGCTGTTCAGGTGGACGTCGGGTGGAGTCCCTCTCAATGCTAACAGTAATGGCTTCGTATTATCTGAATATCACTTGTGCGATGACGACATATTTGAACACATGTCGGCGTTTAGAGCACGAATTCAAGAAAGACGATATCTTGGAAAGTTGTATGCGTTGGCTCCCGATAAGAATTCGCTTATTAAACTCCGCTTCGCGTGAACCCTCCTTTCTCTATTGTTGTCCTTTATCTCCCCCGCCATGCGAAACACCGCGCCACCTGCAAGATGACGGAATTTGAGAACCTAGCTCAAGATCGACCAGGATGGGGGAAATCATATGACTCGAGGCAATGCCAATCGTAGCCGACGATCCCTTTAGCCCTACTTTTTGGTCGATGTTTGTCTGCGGGATGGATGCGTTAGTTATGTGGGGTCGGAACAGTCAGCTGCCAGAACACAACACAACATTGAGGGATATTGAAAGACAGCACCAGAGAACATCTTGTTGATTTTTTCAGATACAGACCTTTGTTGATGTGTTATATTTGATTTTGTCTTGTATTTATTTATTTCTTCATAAAACAACAACAAAGACAAAGTAAGAGAAAAGGATGGAACGAAGCAAGTCTCATTCGTCATGAAACTAGTGCTGTATCAATTTCTTTGGACTGCGCCTCCATGTGGGTTTTTGGCAAAGGTTCCAAATTAGTCGTTTGCCTGAATACTCGATCACCCAATCAAGGATTGTGCCCAAGGAACTTGTAGCCTTCTTCCCCATAGTAGAAGCCTTTTACTGGCTGAACCATGCCCAATAGTGGAACGAGAGCGTTTCGGAGTTACGCCAGCCGAGACCAGGAATGCTTCCCACGTGAGATTCCTACAGAGCAGCTCCTGTGCTCCATCCTGTACGGTGTGCAGATCTCCGAGTTTAAACATCAACACGAAGGGAGATTGCCCTGCGATAGTATTTACTATCTACCCCAAAGATACTTCACCCAACCAGTGTGTGACAGGCGGACCACGAGTACCGGTGAGGTACCATGGTCCCTTACCATGTCCACCGCCTTCCCTGGGGAACTAATATGGCACTAGATGGATTATCGTTTCTTCATTTTTTTTTTGTGTTTAGATTTTGATTACCCCGGATTCCTCCCTGGTTCACTGGCGTGTGACGGCTCACCGACTTTATTTAATCCTTTATCATCCTCCCACATCCCACCCGAGTCCATTTCTTCTTTTCTTCCCTAGCTATGGGGTGGCGTTATCCCCGTATAGTCATCGGTTGAGATCTTATCTCGCGGGTCGTGACGGAATTCCCTGACCTGAGAAAAGGAGGGAGACTGCCGCGTCTTCGAGTTAGATACTATCCTTGCCCTAATTTTTATTATTTATTGCTTTACTATTGAGAAACGCTGTACGACACTTGCGTCACGAATTCGGTTCCCTACAGCTGGTCATTGCTGGGATATCCGGGGCAGATTACAGAATTAGTTGCTGGCCCCACCGATACATTTGATTTCACGCGAACATCTAAACATTTTCGTTGCAGCAAAAATGGCGGCCACAGAAGCAACAGCTGGTGAACACGCAGAGGCTAGTTCCCAAAGACCATCCTCAGGTCGCTGGTGGAAAAGAGTATTGAATCCATCGTCTGCCGATGATGTGGAGCTCAATCAAGACAACATTAACTATCGCTCCAAGTCAACCTTGGGAATTCTCAGCGACAAGGAAACTGATGAAGTACCTGGTATGTCCTGCAGTCAGTGCGCCCCGATAGTTTGAGCACCTACTGACAGGCTCTAGGAACCGTCCTTCTGCTATCGTCAAACCGCAATGAGCCATTGGGGCTGAGGCATCAGCCGCAGCGCACATCCCGCTCGTCCCTCCCATCTCCATATCCCCCGTCGCGTTCATCTTCGCGTACCTCAGCAAAAGGTCGGCCGTCTAAGAAGAAGACCGCGGATGGGCAGATCGTCTTGGACCCACAGCCTGACGATTCAATGAACGACCCGTTAAACTGGCCGGTCTGGCGTCGAGATGCCGCACTGTTATCGCTGGGCTTCTATTGTCTGATGGGAGGTGGAATGACAACGATCCTGGCTGCTGGTTTCTCGCAGGTCGCGGATACCTATGGCGTGTCCACTCAACAGGTGGCCTACACCACAGGCCTGTATATGTTGGGCCTCGGAGTGGGATCCGTCATCATGTCCCCGACCGCGATTCTGTATGGAAAACGGCCGGTCTACCTTCTCGGCGCCACACTTTTCGTTATCTCAGGCGTCTGGTGTGCCCTCTCTCCCAATTACCCCAGTCTTGTCGTTGCCCGCGTTTTCCAAGGAATCGCGGTGAGTCCGGTGGAGTGTCTACCCTCCGCGACCATTGCCGAGATTTACTTTTTACACGAACGGGCCTACCGAGTTGGGATTTATACCCTTCTCCTCTTGGGAGGGAAGAATTTGATCCCTTTGGTGAGTGCGGCCATTATCGGCAACTTGGGCTGGCGTTGGGTGTTCTGGGTTGTTGCTATTGTGGTGGGGGCTTGCCTGGTCTTGTTGTTTTTCTTTGTCCCGGAAACATTCTGGGATCGTACCCCTCGCCCCCGCGCGCGCAAACGTCCGCATTTGTATCGGAGCGTGTCAGACCTGGTCTCTCAGGGCATTCGCGGGCGCCCGACACATGTACAGCGACTTGAAGATGATATTCCGGAGACTAACACGAACTCCGCGCTGCCCAAGAAGTCCAAGAAGGGCCATGTTGGATTCGTAGAGGACCATGATGCGGAAGCTCATTCTCCTGACGAAAAGGACGCAGCAGCAGACCATGACCGGGATTCGATCGCGCCGGATGCTCCAGGCGAGGATCATGTACACTTCGCCCACAACGCCGATCCGGAGAAGGCCGATGGGTTTCTCCAGCCCCCTGCCCCGGTCGCTCCTGGCCCCGAGCGTCCATCCGATCTGGGAGTTGGTCGCCAGGCTGCCATATCTCCGGCTCGCAGCGATTCGCTTGATCCCGGCGCCCCGACGAATGGATCGATGCATTATACGAATTGGCTTCGGGAGCGACCCCAGATGCCGTATCTACACTATCTCCGGGTTTGGAACGGTCGAATCAACCATGACAACTGGATACGAGTGGCCGTGCGCCCGTTCATTCTATTTGCCTACCCAGCCGTGCTGTGGTCGGCAGTTGTTTACGCGCTCTCGGTCGGGTGGTTGATTGTCCTATCCGAGTCTGTCGCCAAAGTCTACGAAACACGAGACACTTACAACTTCACCGCCCTGCAAGTTGGACTCGTGTACATCTCGCCGTTTGTGGGAGGCTTACTAGGGACCGCCGTGGCCGGAAAGGTCTCCGATGTGATTGTCCGATACATGACCCGGCGTAATGGCGGCGTCTACGAACCCGAGTTTCGGCTGGTGATGGCGATCCCCATCGCATTATCGACCACGGCGGGACTGATGGGATTCGGATGGAGCGCCGAGGAGAAGAATGCATGGATTGTGCCCACAATCTTTTTCGGCTTGGTTTCGTTTGGATGCTGCCTAGGTAGCACGACCTCCATCACGTTCTGCGTCGATAGTTATCGCCAATATGCTGGTGAAGCCTTGGTAACTCTGAACTGGAGCAAAAGTGAGTTCCCTCCCTATCATTTCATTGTTATCCTCCCCCGGACACCGGCAACTAATAGCCGTTTCTAGATGTATTCCACGGACTGGTCTTCTCGTTATTCATTGTCGACTGGCTGAACGGGCAAGGCTCTCAGACCGTGTATTTGGCCCTGGGTGGGATTCAATTGGGATGCCTTCTCTTTACAATCCCCATGTATATTTATGGCAAGCGACTTCGGATGTGGACCGTCCGGAAACGCCTGATGGAGAAATGGTAGATACAGTGCTCGAGGTTGTACTACCTTTCGGAGCAACCTTTGATGAGTTATGATTGGACGTATGTGTCATGGACGTTCCAGTATATATGCATCGTTACGTGCCTGCATCGTCATGATGTGCATTATAGATGTCGAGCTAGTATGTATATAGTATAGAGTGCAATCAACTTTATCTGTCTGAAACTGCCTTGGGGCGAGTCACATGATCGACGGTGCATTACGAAGCTGGAACGACGTAATGGACTGGGCCATGGACACCGCCGCTAATCAGCGGGATTCTAGAACGCTTAGTCACGGCTTGTGACAGGTGCCCCGCCTCAGGCAGCGATCGAGAGGGACTCGAGGATATAAAAACAAGACCGAATCCAAGCGAGGGGACTCAATGGGGACCGATCACCGCTGATCAATCACCGGTACAAACATCAGCCAGTGGAATTGGCAAGCTCGATTGCATTTAAATCGAATCGTGCATGCATGACGGGGCTTCCTAGGGATGGCGCGGAGCTCAGCGATGGAGCGGCAGGGCTAGAGGTGCCAAACGCGTCGATCAGGACGTTTAACTGGTGGCACATCAGACCGAAAACCGGGAGGCCTGGAACTGCAGGCTCCACCCCTACCCGACGCAGCCTAGTGGCGCCCTGCAGGTGATCCAGTGAGAAAACAAGCTGGTCGTATGTCGTTTCATCATCTTCCTCCACTGCCCTGCCTGGTCCCCAGTCATCAGTCATCAGAATCGTGACTTCAGTTCCGGGGCGCCGCCCATCTGAGATCGCATGGGTCTTACGTTTTTCCTCCCCTTGCCGTGCCAATGGTTGCGTACAGGTACCTCCAATCAGCCGGCGTCGCGGGGAACCAGACCAGCATCAAGCTCGGATTGCCATAAAATTTGGTATCCCCAAGTGGATGATGTCGCCCTCTCTAACCCTTGTCATTTGTGCGATCCCCCATCGCCACCGACCCAGCAAAAACTCTCCATATGAGGCAACGAATGTCCCTTCTTTTTTCGATTTCTTTTGTTCCCTTACTGTGGGATTGTACCCTTCAGCCACGACGCTTGCTCCATCTGCTGTCCGCCTTGGCACATGCCACGGCCTGCATATTAAACCGGTTTCCTGTCTGGGACATTATTCATAAAACTCATTTTAGACTCCCGGTTTCAGCCCTTGTTTACTCTCTTTTTTTTTTTTTTTATTCCCTGGTCTTTCCGCCCTTTCCCCCTCCCATCCTCACAATTTAGGCTCTTTTCTTGCGCCACACCGAGTCCAACCAACAACAGTTCTGTCCTCAGAGAAGGGACTGACGATGGAGTGCGACTGAAGCCGTCAAACGATTAAACCTCTTTGCGCACTTTCTCCCTCCCTCGTTCCGGCCGTTATCTCGCTCTTGGCAACCATGGAATCCAGTCACAGGGGCGAAGACCACAATACCGGTCGCAGAGTTCGTGAGCTCTATCGCTACTTCCAACCGGAACGAGTCCTCAATGGGAACCGGACCTCCAGCAGCAATAGCTCGCCCTTTTCAACCTCGGCTCCAATCCAGGATTCGTCTCTGGTTACCCCTCCGTCGCCGTCGATCTCTTCGCAACCACCGTTACCCGGCCCCGTCGGTGCAGCATCTGCAGTTGTGCCAGAGGAGGCCTTGGTCCTAGGTAATCCCAATACAACGTTGACGTCCTTCGCGCAGCTAGCAGCGTTGCGTCTTGACGTCGAGCGTGTGTTGATTAGGTACGTGGAATCTGCTCCGTTCTTGACTGAACTGCCTTTATTAATCACTGTGCTGTCTAGTGTCTCGGATCGTAACTCACAATTCATCCTGGCACAGTCAACGCGGTCGTCCTCTACACCAAGCAAGTCTGATTTGCCAGGAGATGGAATATGGAACGGCTGCAGCACAATTTCTGCCGAGGCATGGAAGATGTGTGCGGTATGTCTCATTCGTCGGAAACACCAAGCTCACTCGCTAATTAGGCCGCTTCTCGTGTAGGCCACAGTAGCGCTCGGCCCTTCGAAAAGAGACGAAGGCCAGTGCAAGTTCCTCGTCATTGACGATCTAAGCCAGGATGACGAATACAAGGGCCTTTCGTTTGTGCGTGAGAAGCCCAACTTCCGATTCTACGCAGGAACTCCTTTGACAACGGAGACCAATATCAATATCGGCTGTCTCTTTGTCCTGGATACTAAACCCCATGACGGACTGACCGACACGGACAAGGAGACGATGAAAACATTGAGTGTGCTTATCATGGACTATTTGCGAGTGAGCCGTCAAGCTTCCGAGGGGAGACGTGCCACTCGGCTATCTCGGGGTCTCAGCTGTTTTGTTGAGGGTAGTTCCAGCCTGGTGGATACACACCCTTCGTATGCGGGAAGCTTCGCCGCGGCACCGGGCACGCCCCAATCTTCCAATTTGAGGGCGAACCACCTCTCGGTGGGTTCCCTCAACAGTTTCGAACTCCCGTCCCGGCGATCTCAGAGCAGTGATGCCCGTTCGATTAGTTCCATGTCAGAGGGTCGGGGCGATTCCGGCTTGTCGCCACTTCCAGATTGGTGGTCGGGTAATCGGGGGAATCACCGGCTGGAGGAAACCCATGGTAACTCTTGGGCCTTCAAGCGTGCAGCAAATCTGCTGCGTGAGAGTCTTGAGCTCGGCGGTGATGGCGGTGTGATTTTCTTGGAGGCAGGCAATACACCAATGCTCGATATGGAGAGCGGTAGCGACTGTTCTGCAGAAAACAGCTCGCCGGCTCCCGTATTAGCTATCTCGACAAACGACGAACCGTTCGCGCCGGGACCTGGTAGCTCCAATCTCTACCCAGCATCGAACTTCGATAGCAGTTTTCTGCATCAGCTGCTCCGGCGCTATTCGAAAGGAAAGCTATGGTCCTTCCACCGAGATGGGCTACTCTCCAGCTCTGACGACGAAAAGCCTTCCCGGAGTCGTTCTCGAGCCACCAAGACTTCCGAAATAGGCAGGGGTACGGGAAAGAAGCGGAAGTCCCTGGAAAACTCCATGTTGAACCTCTACTTTCCCAACGCAACTCAGGTTCTCTTCGTGCCTTTATGGAACGCCGCCAATTCTCAATGGTTTTCTGGTTGCTTTTGTTGGAATACGGTTGAAACCCGCGTCTTCAATTCCTCCGTGGAGCTGAGCTCTGTCCTTGGGTTTGGATCTTCCATCATGGCAGAATATAGCCGGGTGGAATCGCTTATTTCTGACCGTCAGAAGGGCGACTTTATCGGCAGTATTTCGTAAGTATATCCTCACTATCTTTAGTCTTGTAGGTCGGCTATTGATTGGTATCTCTTGCACAGGCACGAATTGCGTAGTCCCCTGCACGGTATCTTGGCAGCGGCTGAGTTTCTGGGAGGGACGAAACTGGATGACTTTCAGGGCTCGCTCCTGGAAACTATCGATGCATGCGGTCGGACCTTACTGGATACGATGAACCAGGTCCTGGATTACAGCAAGATTGTCTCTTTGGAGAAGTCATGGCGTCATTTCAAGCGAGATAGAACAGTACCATCCGATTATCGGGCGCTCGATCGGCTATCAGCTCATTTGGACACGTATGTATCAACAGACCTAGCCCTTTTAACTGAGGAAGTCGTGGAAGGGGTGTGTCTGGGGCATGCGTACGGTCAGAAGTCCACTATCTCATCTGATCAACCTGTTGTGGTGTCGCCCGTGGAGGACCCAAGCCACAAAAGCAACCTCTCACACCCTCAGCCTGCAGTCGATGTCGTCGTAAACATTGCACAGAATGATTGGGTCTATCAGACCCAACCAGGAGCTTTGCGGCGCATTATCATGAATGTGTTCGGCAACGCCATGAAATATACAGATTCGGGTCGGGTGTCTGTGCGACTCGAGGTGACCGAGGCTGAGGGTCGTTATCGCCGGTCAGGCATGGAGGAGTTGGTGACCCTCGTTGTTTCGGATACCGGCAAAGGCATTTCAGAGGAGTTTTTGCGCGGTCGCCTGTACACTCCATTTGCTCAAGAGGATACGTTGGCCGTGGGAACTGGTCTAGGGCTGTCTATTGTCCGGAGTCTCGTGAAATCGTTGAATGGTCGCATCGACGTGAATAGCACGCCCGGCGAGGGGACTACTGTGAAGGTCACCTTGCCTTTCTTGCGACCGGATGTCGAAGATATCGCCGAGGACCCGCTCACCCCACGGTCACCATCTGTAAAGGAAAAGGACAGCCCCACCGAAAGCCGTCTCTTACGGGACAACCACGCGGGGAGACGGGTTGCCATCGCCGGCGTGGAGCCAGATGAGATAGCAGGCCATCCTTGGTGGCCTATTATTATTCGTTATTTGACTGAGTGGTACGGCCTCGAGCTTGCCTCCTGGTCGTCTCGGACACCTGTCGATATCGTGTTATCTGATGGAGCCGCTTCAGCTGCGGATCTGAAGAAGCAGTTTGTAACCAGAGTTCCAGCTCTTCTCCTTCTCTGCGACAAATCCATCGACCGAACTACTAAGCTAAAAGAGTGCTCTTCTCTGGCCAGCGTAGTAAATATCATCCGCCCGCCATGCGGCCCACACAAACTTGCTCGAAGCATCCGGAAATGCTTTGATTCACAAGCTGACAGCATCCCGACCACGAAGTCCATTGTCCTTCCGGACCGCCCCAAGTTCTTCCCCGATGGCAAAGGCGGTTTTGAGCCTGAGTTCTCCGATGATATGGCAGAGTTAACACCAGGCGCCACGAGCAGTTCGGGCGCATCATCATCTCTTGGATCAGCACACTCCCCAACACATAGTGAAATCCCGGAAAACCTTCCTACCATCATGTCTCCATCTTCCTCAGTACGGGATCCCTCGCCGTCCCGAATCAAGGAACCGGAGCCCACGCCCCAGCGCCTCGCACGTGTCCTTGTCGTGGACGACAACTCCATCAACCTCAATCTCATGTTGACCTTTATGAAAAAACGCAATTTGGCTACGTTGGATGCGGCTGAGAATGGTAAAGTAGCTGTTGACGCCGTGGAAAGGCTTCAACAAGGCTATGACCTGATTTTCATGGGTAGGTTCCCTTTGTCCTTTGTACCTGTTTCCTTGGCTGCACAATTACACAGATCCTAATTCAGATGAATAGATATCTCGATGCCCGTGATGAACGGCTTTGAAGCTACGCGGGCTATTAGAGCCATCGAGAGAGAACGCGACTGTTGTACA